GCTTGAATAAATATATTTTAATGACAAAACTTTGAAGTTATGAATTATGAAAGAGATTGTAGTATATTATTATATCTCAGGAAATTAGGATTTAGGAAATACGGATTGGAGAAATTGTATATTTCAGGAAAAGATCCTATTCGGTAGTTGGCATACTTCGGGAAAATGTATATTCAGAAAATGGTCATTCAGAAAATGATCCGACAAAGAGCGTGATCATATCCCCAAAAAATAAAGTGAATCATTCATTGTTTATGAGAAAATGTAAATAATATAAGTCCAAAAATACTCCCAAAAAACTGCCTTCCCCATTTTTACAGGATCTAAACTTGCAATATATAAAATATCATTACTAATAGATTATTTATTTCACGGATATGAGAAGAACATGGAATATACAGTAGATACATCAAATTATTTTTATAAATTCTGTCATGATTTATTAATAAAAGTAATAATTATATAAATTCAAATTGTCACATGCATCTCAAAATAATACACCACTTAATCAGCCGCCCAGGATTTTTTCCATGATAGCTTTTTTATAATAAAAATACAGATTTATACAATAAATATATAATATAACATAAAATTCTAATTAATTTTTAAAGATTATTTAATCTATTCTGTGCATTTTCATATCCTTGTTTGGCAGATTTTTTGTACCAATAAATTGCATAATCTATACTTTTCTTAGTTCCATACCCATTTTCATACATCAAAGCAAGATTATATTGTGCTACATCATAATTCAAATTTGCTGCTTTTTGGTATGATTCGAATGCTTTTTGAAAATTAACTAACGTTCCAATCCCACTAAAATAACAATTACCCAAGTGATTTATTCCAAACGATTCCCCTAAATCTGCTACTTTGTAATATAATTCAAACGCCTTTTGTTCATTAATTTCAGTCCCAATTCCTTTTTCATAGCAATATCCTAAGTTATTTATTCCATTTGCATTTCCTAAGTCGGCTGCCATTTTATATAATTCAAACGTCTTTTGGTTATTGATTTCGGTTCCAATTCCTTTTTCATAACAATAACCCAATCTATTTATTCCACATGGATATTTTTTTTCAGATAATTTTTTAGATAAATTAAAAGCTTTATTATAATCTTTTTCGATACAAATATACATATAAGAAAGATCAAATTGTGCTACAATATTTTCCAATTCTGCTGCTTTTTGATATAATATAAGTGCATTTTTCTGGTTAACTTCAACATTAATTCCATGATAATTAAAATATCCAAGTAAATAAATAGAATTTGAACAAGTTTGATTATTCAGAAGCCAATGATAGATTTCTTGTAAGTTAATTTTGCAATCATTAAAATAATCAAGAACAAATTGTTTTCTTACTCTTGCTTCTTTTCCTTTATTCGTTTCTTCAAAATAAAGATTAACCAATTCATCAACTACAATACATAAATCTTCTTCAAAAATATTTTCTTTAATGTCTTGAGTTGTAGGCTTCATTTCATTTATATCTACCCAAAAAAAATTTTGAGTTTCTGCATTATCTAAATTTAGAGTCAATTTCCGTTTATCTGATAACTCAGGATGATGATTATCTTCCTGACAACGTTTATAAGCAGCTTGTATTTCAGTAGTATCGGACATCGTGAATACAAAAAAAAAGAAAAATTTAATTAGACTATTTTTTTTTCATTTTAATGTACTACATTGTAGTACTGCATGCAGTGATTACTAATCTATTTTCACGTGATTGCGATAATAATATAGCGCCTTCATCAGCCACACCATTTTTGTGTAACATATGAAAAAATTTTCATATTTGAAGATATTCTACATCTCTGTGTTTTTTAGATTATTAATAAATAATAATATTTTATTAAAGTATTTTGAATAAGTAATTTTATTAAATATAAGTTATTATATTTTAATTATTTAAGTTTATTTAAAATCCATGCCATAATTACTAATGATTATTATATGCTAAATGTTATTATGTTAGCACTGAAATTTTTACAATTTTTACACTAAAAAAATTGTGACTCAACCTCTCAATATCTATAATCATTCAAGCTAAACCACAAAGACTAATGTACAATCATTTTCATATCTGCTGAACAACTTACTTTTTGTTTACTTCCTATGGCCAAATTGTTCAAATTACAAAACTAAAATGACTTTATTTCAATTCAAGGTAGACCCACGATAATTAATTATTTCATCATGGCCCCCGAAGGAAGGGAGCATCGGACATGAGTATTTATTAGATATCCATGGAATAACAACTGAAGCTTATCATACTTTTTTATACTTTTTTTATACTGGTGGAGTAATTTACAAAAAAATCCATCGGTGTATACACAATACCGATGGGATTATATACAAATATTCTCACACCTTACAAATAACTTACATAAGCAATTTTTACTTGTTTAATATGACCAAAGTACTAAAATTACGTTATGAATTCTTTATGCAATACGAAAAATGTGTTTATTATTTATGAAAATTACTTTACAGTATATTGGATGTCCGAAAATTATACCTAATTATTTATTTATTAATTAAAAAACATGTATATATTGTATATTTGAACATGGAAGTAGAAGAGAAATTATTTATTATTATATTAAACAATTGATATTACTAGGTAAATATTATTACCCTATGAAAAAAAATCATCCAATTTTTGTACAATATTTGTTCAAGTCCGTGTGGAAATTGTACAATTATTGCAGATTTTTGGATAAAAATAGCTATGAAGTTTTTCAAAGCATATTAAAAGTATGCAATTTTTGTACAACTTAAATTTAAGATATAGAAAATGTTCAATTTTTGTGTGATTTTTATACAACTTAAATTTAGGATACAGAAAACATTCAATTTTTGTACAATAAAAATTGTGATTATTGTACAACTTGATAATAGACTTAAATTTAGGATACGGAAAGCAATTTTTGGGTAATCCTACTATTACTACTTTCCATCTTACCTGTATGGTTACATTTGACCACTTTTAGGGTCAAATAGACCACTTTTATTAACCATTACAAATAGATTTTCCTAAGTAAAGTGATTTATGCAGTAAGGTTACACAAAATTCAACTGCATATTTGCTTTATTTGCTTATAAATGGGCATCTTCCGAACTTATTGGTGAAATTTTTGTATCATCTTGTAACTAAAAAAAAGTCAAAACTTTTTATTAGGTTACACAATTAGTTCTGACTGGAATTATAATTCGGCCAGAATTATGCGGTAAAAATCAACTCTTAAAATTATATATGTTGATCACGTGATCTGATCGTCAAAATAAATATGACGACGCGAAATGTTTTTGTTTATGTTTTTTTAACCTTTTAACTTTTCTTCAACTTTCTTTTAAAATATCAGGTAAGAAAAACTTGTGTTCTTTATCTTTTTATTTTCCTAACTTTTTACATTTTAATGTTACTAACTTGCTTTCTTCACTAACTTCATACTTTTTTTTTATTACAATAATTTACTTTTTAACACTACTAATTTTCTTTCTTCACTAACTTCAAACTTTATATTACTAACAATATTAATCTACTTTTTAACACTACTAATTTGCTTTCTTCACTAACTTCATACTTTTTTATTACTAACACTAATAATTTAGTACTTTTTAACACTACTAATTTGCTTTCTTCACTAACTTCATACTTTTTTATTTAATACTAATAATTTACTTATACTAATAATTTACTTTCTTCTTTGATACTACTAATTTACTTTCATGTGACTAACATACTTTATTTTATTTTATTTTCTTACAAATTTTTATATTTATGATTATATCAAATTTAGTATTTTATTTATGAAATATTGTGTATATTTTTTATATTTTAAGTCAATAAAAATTCATAATTTCACTTTATAAATTGCCTGTTATTACTATAAAATTTAACCTATAATACCTAAAATATGGCCTAAAATTTGGCTCAAAAATAACACAATAATTGTATAAATTCAGGTCAAAAATAGGATAATTATTGAATGAATTACCATGCAATAATTGTGTGATTTATTGCAATTTTTAGCACAATTATTGTATGGTCAAATATACAGAAATAATAGTAAATTTAATTGAATGATTTTTCAACAAAAATCACACAGACTTTTTTCATAGGGTTAAGATCCTATAAATAAATTAAATTCCGTTGCATTACTTTTAATATATCGGAAGCTCTACTGGTTTTCCAGGAGACTGCCAAAAGGTTCAATAAAATTTTTCGGTTAAAAAACAAAAATAAATAAATCACTTTAAGATATCATGTCACGAAAATCTAAAGATTCTTCCCGTCCTTACCAACTCTTTGTCAACCGCGCTAAAGTGATCCTCCAATGTACATTTAAACATTACTGATAATGTGCTATTATCAAATTTTTTGATGAAAATATGAATTTCATTTCCTGAATATATACAAAAAATGCTTGTAACGCTAATTATTGTTATCATTCCAATGCGTAAAAATTATATATATATATTTTTACAATTGTATTATTAACGTTAAAGAAATACATCATATTTCAATATAATAAAAATAAATTTTATTTAAAGTAGATTGCGTAATCTCATATAATGGTAAAATAGATGACGGAATAGAGATCTAATGAAAGCACTTTATAATATAGTTAAATATAAATTTCTAATACCAAAATTCACAGATAAATAAAATAAGTATGCAATAAATCTACGATTTTCCTTTCGATTAAATTATAAATCGAAATCCTCGAATTTTTCACGGAAATTATATAAAAAAAATTCTTATATATATTAATAAGTTGTTGAAGTTGAAGCTAAACAGTCGTGAGACGAAAAAGGCTAATTAGAAGGGAGAGTTGTATATACCAGTCTTTGAAATTATTAATTGCAATAACAATTATACATAAGAATAATTAATCAAAAACAGCATGATAATGAGTCACCTGAAAAAATACATACATATACGGTATACTATATTTTGCCTAATATCTTTAAAAATCATTACATAGCTCATTCTTTAAAAAGTTGCTTTAATTTACTTTTAGAATATATGCTTCCTTGTTCAGCAGATTTTTTATACCAATAAATTGCTAGATCCGCACTTTTTTCAGTACCATATCCTTTTTCATACATCCAGGCAAGACTTTGTTGAGCTTTACTGCATTCAAAATTTGCCGCTCTTTGAAATAATTCAAATGCCTTTTTATTATTAATACTGGTTCCAAATCCATTCTTATAACAACGTCCTAGATTATACATTCCAAATATATTTCCTAAATCTGCTGCCTTTTGATATAATTCGAATGCTTTATTTTCATCAATATACGTTCCAAATCCAAATTCATAACAATATCCTAACCTATTTATTCCATATGGATATTTTCTTTCTGATAAATTTTCAGATAATTCAAAAGCTTTACTATAATTTTTACCAACACCTTTCCCCAATAAATACATACCAGCAAGTTCAAATTGAGCTAATATGTTTTCCAACTCTGCTGCTTTTTGATATAATTTAAATGCATTTTGTTCATTAATGTCCATTCCAATCCCATAATAATTAAAATATCCAAGTAAATAAATAGAATTTGAACCAGTTTGGTTATTTATAAGCCAATAATAGATTTCTTGTAAATTAATACTATAATTACTAAAATAATCAAGAACAAATTTCTTTCTTACTTTTTCTTCCATGCCTTTATTTGTTTCCTGAAAATGTAGATCAACAAATTTATCAATTATAATAATTAAATCTTCTTCAAAAATATTTTCTTCAATACTACGAGTTGAAGGTTCGATTTCTAATACATTTGCTTTAAAAAATTTTTGATTAATTTGAGATAATTCTGTATGTGATGAATTATTATTAATATTCGGTGTATTAATATTATCCATATTTAGAATTAGTTGCTGTTTATTTGATAATTTAGGATAAATATTAACTGTTTGATAATTTTCGTATTCAGCTTGTATTTAAGTATTATCTGATATTATGAACAATAATCATACGGGTGAAAGAAATTTAAGTTCTGAAATAATATTAATTTTTTGCACTGCATATTTATTTGGATGTATTACTGCAGTGTAACCAGATCTAATTGTCGCAGATTAATTTTGTGTTGCTGCAGTTTTGGCGTACTCTTAGTTATATAAAAGGGTGCGGTCAGACCTCCATAATCACCTAATCGGTTCCGCCAAATTGGTTTTGCATAGAGGAGTAATTATATACTAAAGATTTTTAAATTTAACTAAAATTAATTTCTGAATATAGTGCTAGTCGGAATTACATTAATCCGAAATCATGTGATTTTGGCTAAAAATTATGATATACGGCCAGAATTATAATTTATAGGTGATTGTGAGAGGAATATCAATAATATGTACATTTAGATCAATGATGTGTTAGTGATTATAATTGATTTGTGATTGTGAGAAGGTAATTTTATATAACAAAAATCCGGTTGAAAAAATGAGTTCTTATAAAAAGTTGTGACTATATAGTAGAGAGTGACTATATGGAGGTCTGACTGTATATTAAGTGTAAAATGAAAGTAATTTTCATAACATACTAATGCGTAATTTGTATTGTTACTATATAGAAAAGCAACATATTCAATATAATAAAAATCAACTTTATTTAATGTTAGATTGAAGACATAATGTAATCTCATATAAACATAAATCAGTAAATTTCAAATATTTAAATACTCAGATATATAAATGAAAACTGATACAATAAACCTTTAGAATTAAATTTACAAACCGAAATACACGAAGTTTTCATAGAATTTCCAAGTAAATATCACAAAAATTAAATAAAAAAAATTCTCATATTTTTTAATAAGTTGTTGGCTGGATAAAAGTCGAAGTTAACGTTAAACATCGCGAAATAAAAGACAGAGAGATATATATACCTGGTTTTTGAAATCAAAATAGTATTATAATTATTATAATTGCAATAACAATTAACTATAACTCTATAAGCATAATTAATCGAAAACAAAGTCTGTTAATAAGTTACCTGAAAAAATACGTATATATATTTTAACCCGGTTTCTTTAATAAATTATCACATGGTACATTCTTCTAAAAGGTGCTTTAGTTTATTTTTAGAATATATGCTTCCTTGTTTAGCAGATTTTTTATACCAATAAATTGCTAGTTCTATATTTTTTTCAGTTCCACGTCCTTTTTCGTACATCCAGGCAAGACTTTGTTGAGCTGAATTGTATTCAAAATTTGCCGCTCTTTGAAATAATTCAAATGCTTTTTCATTATTAATACTGGTTCCAAATCCATTCTTATAACAACGTCCTAAATTATACATTCCAAATATATTTCCTAAATCTGCTGCATTTTGATAAAATTCGAATGCTTTTTGTTCATTAACATCAGTTCCGATATTACATTCATAACAATATCCTAACAAATTTATCCCACATGTATTATTTCCTTCCGTTAATTTTTTGGATAATTCAAAAGCTTTTTCATAATCTTTATCAGAACCTTCCCCATCTATATACATATTAGCAAGATCGTATTGAACTACAATATTTCCTAACTCTGCTGCTTTTTGATATATATTAAATGCATTGTATTTATTAATGTCAGTTTCAATACCATAATAATTAAAATATCCAAGTAAATAAATAGAATTTGAGCAAGTTTGGTTATTTACAAGCCAATGATACATTTTTTGCAAATTAATCTTATAATAATTAAAATAATCAAGAACAAATTTCTTTCTTACATTTTCTTCTTTTCCTTTATTTATTTCCTGAAGATAAAGATTAACCAAATTATCAATTACCATAATTAAGTCTTCATCAAAAATATTATCTTCAATATTTTGAGTTGTAGGTTCCATTTCCAAAGCATTTACTTTATAAAAATTTTGAGATAATGCTGCATGTAATGAATTAGAATTAATCAGTGTATTAATATCACTCATATTTAGAATTAGTTGCTGTTTATTGATAATTTAGGATAAGTATTAACTGTTTGATAATTTTCGTATTCAGCTTTCGTTTCAGTATTATATCACACGGTGAAAGAAATTTAAGTTAAAAATTTAAAATAAGTTTTACACCTGCATATTTATTTGGAGTATTACTGCAGTGTAACCGGAGTTAATTGTCGCAGATTAATTTTGTGTTACCGCAGTTTGACGTTATAATTGATCTTTCTTTTTAACGATTTTGCAACTTGCAATTTTTTATTTTGCATTATGATTTTCGATATATCGGTACTTTGTTTAAATGAAAGGTGCCTGTCTACTTCAATAATTATTTGTTATCGATATTTTAATTTTATTTAATTAAATAATATTCCCTATTCGATATGTTCAACTACGCTATTAATTGGATAAATGACACATGATGCTTTCATATCATGTGTTTAACTGCATGAGAGCGCGTGATTAATAGTGTCAGCTGACACTAATTGTAATTCTTGCCTGCACTATGCTTTTTCAGGTTTTGGTGAACAAGTCTTTGAGTGTTTATTCCTCGAGTCAATAAATATCTCATTTTAAAGTGAATGGATGAAGAGAAAATAATGAAGTATAAAGTATTTTAAACACTAATTAATATAAATTTAAATACATCATCCATGAAGTATTCATGATCTGTTTACTGCGCCGCTTAATGAAATTTTTCTCGAACTTAATTTACTCCCTCCTGAAAAATGGTTTTTTATTTGTAATAAACATTTAATAGGTAAAGTCGTAATTATTTTTTCGTTTTGCGTATTCTTATAGTATTATCCCTTCAATAGTTTAATATGAATTATTTTATTGTTGTCCTAATCTAGCGAACCAAGATATGTATCAATAAATCTAAATGATGGATTGACCACATTAAAACGTAACTTCAATTTTATAAATTCTTTAAGTACATACATATACCTCTTTAACACATTTTTAATTTTTGAAATAATTAATAGACTTCATTTAAAATTATCAAGAAACTCATTTTTTTAAAAATAATGAATATAAATATAAATTTATAAATTTTATTTAAAATGGAGGGTTAATAATTTTACATATATGAATTATTTAAATTACAAACTAAGAAATTTGTAAGAAATCTTACTACTCTAGTCTTAGTGTTTAAATAATTTAATAAAATATAAATAAATATAAAATATTTTATAACGATTGACAAAAAATAGTTGTAATGAGAGATGGTAGCAAATCTACAGTATAAAATCATTTGTATCTAAATATCTAAAAAAAAAAAATAATGTATATTTATCGGTCTTACCATCAAAATTAACATTTGATCCTTTTGTTTGTTGCACTGTTTCTTGTTTATATTAAATTGAAATACTGTAAATTATATTTAATGAATATTTGCATTAATAAATAATATTAGCTTATTTACTTACCATCTTTTACTTGTAACTTTTTAAACATTTTGGATAATTTTTTACTATTGGCTAAAATTTAAAATATGATTCATTATTTATTTATCCAATTATTCTTTTTTATAAAAAAAAAAAGATAAAATCAATTAAATACTGTATATGGATAAATTCACCAACCTTTAAAAAAGCTATTTATTTTCGACGTTCTACTATTATTCTGATTGCTTGAGTTATTAAAATCATCAACTGAAGAAAAGGTAAAATTAATAATTGAATATATACTATATATAACAAATTTACAATTTGAAAAAAATACTTACTATTAGTAGGAATACTAAAATCATATGGTTTACTATGGAATACTATTTAAAATGAAATATTTAGTTAAAAAAAGTCAAAATGAATGAGATTATAAATAATCTGAAAAATTAAAAAATTTAAATATTAGATTGATAAATTTACATTACCTTCTAGCTCCTCTATTTATTTTTAATATAAACAAATGAGAATTTTTTATTATTATTTATGTATTTAAATAATAAAAGCAATATATTTCAAATATAATACCTTCTGTTGCATTCCTTGGTTCAGGTAGATTTTCGAATTGATGAATTTTACTTGTGAATGATTTGTTATTTGTACTACTATTTGTTTTATCTAGTTCTAAATTACTATATATTTCTGATTGAAATGTTTGATCCGTCATACTTTGATAATATAAATTCATTTCTCTTATTTTTTTCATAAGTGTATCAGTATCTGGTCTTTTTGATGGATCAGCATCCCAACATTGTTCCATTAAATTTTTATATTCTGTAGGAGTTCCTAACACAATTTTTGGTCTAATACCATTAGTAATATTCATTACAAGATTATAATCGTGTTCATGATTAATAAATGGTGGTTGTCCAGATGAAATTTCCCACATAAGCATTGCAATACTATAGATATCAGATTTAAAAGTATATTCTCTTCCATTAATAACTTCTGGTGCTATGTAAGGAAGGTTTCCATATACGCTTTTTGATGATTTATCAGCAGGTCCACAAAAGCCAAGATCACTTATATACCACTTAATATTGAGTTGTGAATACAATATATTTCCAGAATGCAAATCTCTATGAATTGAATTCCCAAAATGAATAAAATAAAGTGCCCTAACTATTTCAAAAGTTATATTGATTTTTTGTTTCCATGTAAGTTTATTGTGATTCTGTTGTAAAAATTCTCTTAAATTTACGTCCATTATATCCATTACAAGCATATAACTTCCATTTGATATGTTTTGTGTTAAACCATAACATTGAACAATGTCTGAAATTTTATTACTTATAGTTAGATGTGATTTAGCCTATAAAAAAATCAAATATTATTACAAAACCTAGTAATTATTAACTTTTTTTAAGCACATATTAATTACTAACCTCTTCAAACCAACTTTGATTTGCACTTTCAACATTTTCTAATTTTTTAAGTATTACCTTTTGACTTCCAAATCTTTTTAATTGCTGTTTTTTAGAATCCCATTCTTCATATTTTCCATCAACCCAAACTGCTTCATAAATTTCAGAAAAACCACCTTTTGTTAAATACCTGATATTCTGTAAATTATTATATGGAATCCATTCAACTATTCTATTTGGCAAGAGTGTTTCCGATTGACATTTCTGGATTAAATTATCAATATTAACATTTCCAGATGTCCAATTGCTTTTAAATAATTTCGAACACAAAATTCACAATATAATGTAGCTAAACATTTTTGATTACAATTTTCACAAATTCTTCTTGTTCCTGAATTTTCAATAATTTTATTTCGATCATAGCCTTTAGTTATCCAATTTATTGCATAATTTTTTTCATCTTTTGTAAGAGAATTATCAGCAAGAAGTGTTTGTTTTTTAAATTCATGTCGTTTATGTATGTCATTATGGATATTATAATCTATTAATGCATGTGACCTAGACATTGCTGCATGAGCAAGTTCTTTTCGAATTACAGACATTAAATTATTTAAAAAAGAGGTTTAAAAAAAAGGATTTTTATAAATTTGAAAGCTATAAAAATTATGGTGAGAAAAAAGAGAAATAAAGGTTTGTGTCCAAAATTATTTGCAATGATTTGCAGTCTTATAATGTAGTGCAACTTACCGTTACTCAAAATGATTTCCTGGTTCTTGTAGTATCTGCATTCATGTTAGACATGTCACGTACATCACGAGATGAAATTGTCACGTTATCTTTATGTTGAAATAATTTCTTAGCTATAAGTGATACATACAAGTAATCTTTTCCATAAAATAAAATAAAAAACATACAAGTAATCTAATCACTAAGAAAATTTATTAGTTTCATTAGATCAAATAAAAAGAAAACAGGCGTAAATAATTGTAGAACTTACGAAATAAAATACTGGACTTTACCAGGCCATTGGAGCTGGAGTTTAAGCAATGGTATCAGAGCCTCAGAGAAATATTAACCTGGTAATGAATAGTAATTTAGGTAATTATAATAAAAAATAAGCGATTAACTTAAAATAGGTAATGTCTTTTTGAAAGAATAAAAATATTAATCAAGTTAAAATATACACAAATATACACGAAGACAAGACTCTAAATAATTTATACTACATATGTCAGTATAACAGTATCGATAGCGATAAAGAATGAAAAAAGAAAAAAAAATTGTTCAATGTAAAAATAATTTATTGGGTTCTCTATAATTATTATAAATAAATAGAAACCGTTAGTAGCTAGTAGGTAATAAGAATGCTGATGACAACAATTAAAAATAATTATTAAATCCTCTAATGGACTTTTCATTACAATATTATTTAATAATTAAATATTTCATCGAATTTTTATTCTCAATTTCCATTATAATTTTCATCGCAATTTTTTTGATTTAACAATTTGACTATGAAGGAAATTTTGTAAGTACATTACGAGAAGCAAATTTTCTATTAATGTATCATCTAATAGAGTAATAGTAATCATTGTAATAACGTGCATAAAATCCTGATTTTGCAGTAAATCACTTACGGTACAATAATGATTGATTAGACTTTAAAGCTTGTAAGAATATATTCAAACTTTGGGTTTTAGAATTATATAATTAATACAAAGGAAAATATAGTACCATTTTTCTGGATTAATTAAAACTTATATATAATTAATAATTAAGAGATGACGATACCAGAATGCGGAGTGTAATTTTTTAAATTTTACAAGAAATTATTAAAGAATGTCCTAATTATTATTTGGATGAAATTGTTGGAGAGATAATTAATAAAACTGAAAAAGAGGTTTCTATACCCACTTTATGGAGATCTTTAAAATATTATGGAATAACAAGAAAGAAGGTTAAGTATATATTGTATTTATCGTATATTTAATTACTAAAAGTTATTAAAATTATTAATCAATCTATTATTATTTTAAAATCTAGTTTGAAAAAGCTGCAAAAAAAAGGAGTGAATTGCTAAAAACTGATTATATTTTTACTATTAGTACAGTGTAAGTATTTTTTTATTTTCGTTTATGATCACGTTATTTTTGTGTAAATGTATATGATTTAATTTCAGTATTGCTAATTTCCAATTATTTGAATTTTATAGTTGCCTTTTATGAATCCTTACCCTGGAAAGAATAGTGTAAATACACCATGATGTTTGTTAGTAGCATTAGTAGTATTAGTTATATTAACCATTTCCTAAAATAAAGTAATTACGTCTCTCGTTACAACTAAATTTAGACTATTTAAACACTAATTATACTTACATTATCTAGATTAGGACATTAAGATTTACGATATTAAACTATTAAGGGAATAACATCATAAGAATGCGTCGCAAACTCGCAATAACTAAAATGATATATTTTTAATTTGTACTATTTAATGTTAGGAAATATTGTTATTTTCTCTTCATCCGTTCGCTTTAAAGTACTGTAAGATATTATTGACTCGAAGAATAAACACTCTAATTCGTTCGATATACTATCAAGACACTTGATACGTATCATAGTATAATAAAAATATATATGTATATATAATACGTATTGTATGAAGATTTATTATTAACATTTTTTTTTCAAAAATATTCTTGTAATATGTAAGCAGTACGTAAAAATAAAAACTATGTCATGAGATAATTATATGCAAAAACTTTTAACTCGCTGCTTAGCCTGCTTTTTTTTATTTAAGAGTTGTCGATTATTATTGGTGCACATGCTATAGGATAGCACGTGATATAACTAAAAAAGTTCGGATCAACGACAATTGCGGTGGCGCAGAAAATTAATCTGCGGCAAATGAAATCATTTCTTTAATTAGTAATCAAATGTAAATAAATATGCAGTGTAAAAAATTAGCTTATTTAAAATTCTAAAAATAATTCTTTCTTCACGGCTCATAAAATTATTTATTATTCAATAATGTCCGATATTATTGTTGAAAAACAATCTACTTATAAATATTATCAAACCGAAAATTATAATTTTAAATTAAATAAACAACAATTAATTCAAAATTTGGATAATATTGATGCATCAACTATTAATGATCCATTATGTACAGAATTATCTAAAAATATTCAAAATTTTTTTAAGATAAATATAATGGAGATAGGACCTACAATTCAAGATATTAAAGAAAATATTTTTGAAGAAGATTTAAGTATATTAATTGATAAACTGGTTAAACTTTATTTTAGGAAAACTGCAAATAAAGGAAAAGAAGAAAAAGCAAAAAAAAAATTTGTTCTTGATTATCTTAATAATAATAAGATAAATTTACAAGAAATACATAAATGGCTTATAGATAATCAAAATAGTTCAAATTCTATTTATTTACTTGGTTATTTTAATTATCATGGAATTTTTGTTGAAACTAATAAACAAATCGCACTTGAATTATATCAAAAAGCAGTAGAATTGGAAAATGTTGTGGCTCAATTTGAACTTGCTTATATGTACTATTATGGGATAGATGTTGATAGAAGTTATTATAATGCTTTTAAATTATTTGAAAAATTATCGGAAAAAGATAATCCACGTGGAATGAAATGGTTAGGTTATTGCTATGAGTTTGGATTTGGAACTGAAAAAAATGTTGATAAAGCAGTTTATTGGTATAAAAAATCTGCTGATAAAGGAAGTAAATATGCTCAAAATAAATTAAAGCTATTTTTCAAATAATAACTTATATTTTTTAATATTAATATTATGCGTTTTTTTTTACATGTACTTAAGAATTAGTATTTATAAGGCTAAATTACGGGTGGTGAATTTTCAAAATATTTATAAGAACTAGTTTTTTTTCAATTTCACATTTCTTATAACTAGATTTATAAATTTATTTAGTTATAAATTTGCTTTTATAGTGTAATAAATTGTCATAGATTTAGGCTTAATATTTAAGTAACAGTAATACATTCTTTATGAGATTATAATTGCATTTCCTAACATAATGACTAACATGCAAATCCTGGACAGGATATTTTTTATATGTACTAATTCCATTATAAAATACAGATCAAATGTACATGGCATTTCATAAATTCTATTATAATAATATATTAAACATTATATTCAACGAAATGGAATGAAAAGTTGAAAATAAAATTTATTTGATTTATTAACGTATAATTAAGGGCGGTTAAAAAATTGACATAAAATGATGTTTTTTTTTACAGTATATTGTGAAATTTTTCATTATATTTTTAATATTTTCTTCGAATTTTTTTTGTCTAGTCGATCCGTTAAAAATTACGGTGACGCAATAATTTCTTTAGTTCATTATATAGTACTGAGTACTATATAAAAATACTTGACCTTATTTCATACTAAAAAAATTTCTTTCTTTATAGAATTACTCAAAATTTTTAAATTAGGCATAAAGGGCATAAAGGCACTTACAACTATTGATTATATATGTAACCGTTCTAATTAACCTTTTTCATCTTGCGATTACCTACTTCGAACTTTTATCCGATTAAATCAAACAACTTATTAATATATTTAAGAGTGATACAACCGTTTACTAGTGCACGAGTTCCAACATCTCTAAAATATTATTTCCTTTAGCTAGGAATGTGCAAGTCCACATTTTTTGTCACCAATGTAATAAATAATGATAACAGTGTATCCTATGATTCTAACTTATATACTCCTATAAAATCATAAGCAGCATCAATAATGTTAAATAAACAGAATTACATTTAAAAGAGTTCAAATTCAATTGAGATATATTTGGACAAAAAGCATATACAGAGAAATTTTGTTCTTTTCCTCCATCACAAATAACTTAAGGGATTATATATCGTAAATCGTAATATATCGTATATAATGAGTCTTTACAAAGCCGAAATGAATTAAGTGATCGTTTAAGTGCTCTTGTGAGGATGATTTAAGTATTATCATAAATGAAATAATGTTGGCGAAAATAAGGATATTGAAAGATTTATATAATAAAAATGAGGAGCATGTGAATTTTCGATTCTGTAAGATAATTCATAATATCTAAATATAAAATATGTTCAATGAAAACTATCGTACGTTACTTTTGTAGAAAATGAAAGATAAAATTATTAATAGGCGCAGTTAATTGATCATGATACTATAACTTAAGTCTGTCCAATTTCTGCAAGCGGTTTATCGTTTAACATCATGTACTTTTATCATTAACCACTTCTGGCGAAATCATAATTCATAAATTTGCTTGAAGTTGCAATCCATATTCCATATGACACGAATGTGTTCCATCTGTTGGGCACAATGCAGAATAATTTAGGAGATTTTATCAATATTAAGCCCGTTAATGTAAATTTCGAGATTTACTGATAAATTCCAATTATTTCATATATTTTACCTACTACACCGGCTCATGTAACATGAAATTCGTGTTCTTTGTACGATAAGAGTAAATGATTCACACTCATTATTTTATATTTTCAATTTCACATTACTAGTGATGGAATAACTGAATTGCAAATTTATTTATTTGTTATAGTAAACTGTCATGTATTTATTTAGGTCAAATATACTTTTTTACATTTTATATGAGTTTATAACTGCACAATGACTAAAATTTGGTATTACTACAAGCTAATAAAGTTATAAATATATTTTTCTGGGCTTAGATCATATAATATCATATAGATGAATATAATTATCTTTGAAAACTGCTTTAATTATTTAAAACATATTTACTTCCTAGACTAGAAGATTTTTTATACCAATAAGTCGCTTTATCCATATTTTTTACAGTTCCATATCCAAATTTATAACAATGGCCTAACCATTTCATTCCATATGTATGTTTCCTTCTTGATAATTTTTCAAGTAATTTAAAAGCTTTATTATAATTCTTATCAGTACCCGCTCCATATAAATACATACAAGCAAGATCAAATTGAGCTACAAAATTCTCTAATTCTGCTGCTTTTTGATATAATCCAAGTGCAATTTGCTTGTTTATATCAGTTCCAATTCCATGATAATTAAAATATCCAAACAAATAAATAGAATTTGAACTAGTTTGATTATTTAGAAGCTAATTATAGATTTCTTGTAAATTAATTTTACAATCATTAAAATAATCAAGAACAAATTTTTTTCTTTCTCTTTCCTCCTTTCCTTTATTCGTTTCTTCAAAGTAAAGATTAACCAATTTATCAATTACGTCACTTAAATCTTCTTCAAAAATGTTTTCGTTAATATCTTGAGTTGTAGGTTTTATTTCCATTACATTTACTTTATAAAAATTTGATAATTCAAGGTAATTATTATCTGGTTGATAATATTTGTAAGCATCTTGTACTTTAGTGTTATCATTCATTACAGGTAATAATTCTACTGGAGAAAGAAATTTTAAAATGAAATAATGCTTGATTTTTACACTGCATATTTATTTTGGATCGTAGTACTGCAGTACTTAATCACTAATCTGTTATAGAAATAATTAATTTTTTTTACGCCAATCTAACAAGTCTTTCTGTAAAATCATGTGTGGATCCTTCCTTTTTCGGCTATATCACGTATCCAACCTGTAAAATTCTCTTTATATAATTGCTCAAGGTTCTAACTTCTAAATATATTGACAGATTATTAAATCACAATATATATGTAACAAAAATAAATTAACGACATGTAAGATTTTACTCCCCATATCGGCATATCGGACAATACGAAATTTATTTTAATTTTACGAATGTACCCTATATTATTTTACACTTGATTACAAAATTTATTATTTACGATATAAAAAATGGATCGATTAATTGCTAAATTAATTGTTCAATTATTGTTTACTCGACAAGTAATTGTTAATAGATTTCAGTCGATCTTTATCAAAAATTTATGACCAATTAAATCTAGTCAATTCTTGGGATTGGAATCGATTATCGAATCTTTTCATCAGCTTGACATCAATTCAGTTTCAATTGATCAGTACTTGGGGGGACAATGGGAATCTTTTATATTACATTTAATATTTGTTCATGTTTATTATTTTCTTTTAACATTACTTTTCAGAAAGTATTCTGAGATTGAAAGATGAAGTCCTATTAATAGAATCCTCATATACATATTAATACAAGAAACTAAAAAAGTTTATTTATAAGAAAATTATAACATAAAATACACCACTATAATAACTAATTATATAACACAACTTGCTGTCGTAAAATGAAAAATAAATAAATTATAATAATGCTTTTTGCGTGAGTTTCAATATTGTACTGTAGTGATGAACCAATGTGCTATACGAAAACATGAATAACCGAATTTCGGTAATATTTGACTCATATAATAATTAATAGTTTATCTGAAAACTCATTAATTTCTTTTTAGCATCTTGATGCCCTTGATCAGCACATTTTTTAAACCAATAAATGGCCTTTTCCATATTTTCTTCAACTACTTTTCCATGTTCATACATTATAGCGAGATTATATTGTGCATATTCGTTTCCTGAATTTGCTGCTTTTTGATATAATCCAAATGCCGTTTCTTCATCAAAATCAATTCCAATTCCATAATTATAACAACATCCTAAATTATTTACTCCATATGAATATCCTAAATTTGCTGCTGCTTGATATAATTTAAATGCTTTTTCTTCATCAATATCAGTTCCAATTCCATTTTCATAACAAACTCCTAAATTACATATTCCATGTAAATTCCCTAAATCTGCCACCTTTTTATATAATTCAAATGCTTTTTGTTCATTAACTTCAGTCCCAATTCCATGTTCATAACAATATGCTAATAAATTTATTCCACAAGGATATTCATTTTTTGCTAAATTTTTTGATAATTCAAAAGCTTTATCATGATCTTTATCAGCACCATCACCATCTATATACATATTAGCTATTTCAAATTTAGCTGCATCATTTTCTAATTCTACTGCAATTTGACATAATTTAAATGCATTTTTCTTATTAATATCAATTCCAATTCCATAATAATTAAAATATCCAAGTAAATAAGTGAAATTTGAACTAGTTTGATTATGTAATAACCAATCATAGATTTCTTGTGAATTTATCTTGTAATTATTAATATAATTAAAAACATTTTTCCTTCTTACTCTTCCTTCTTTTCCTTTGTTAAAATCCGTAAAAATGAGATCAACTAATTCATCAGCTATAAAACTTAAATCCCCTTCCAAAATATTTTCATTAATATTTTTATGAGTTGTGGGTTCTACTTCCTTTATATTTACTTTAAAAAAATTTCGAATGATTTGAGATAATTCTAATGAATCATTATTAGTATTTGGTATATCCGAATTTAGTTGTTGTTTATTTGATAATTTAGTATAATTGCTATTATTTGTAATATTATCGGCCATTGTGAAATAATAATAATTCTATGGGGGAAGAAATTTAAATTACGAAATATGATACTGCATATTTTTATTAAGCAAAGTAATGTAGTACGAAATAATTGTACAACAAAAAAATAATTTTCCCTGCGTCCTGTCACTCCTGTGTCAAAAAAATGTTATGTCGATCACTTGGCGCAGTCAAATTTATTTTTGACGAAAAAAATAGTTCCGTAAAGTGTTGTTAGTTATTATTAATTTATTTATTTATTTATTATTTGACCGTTTCAACGATTTGCCTAATTTTTATCTTAATAAAAATTTATCGTCGTATATTATAGATACTGTACAAAGATACAAAATGAACATGAAATAGAAATAAAAATAGAGATAAATAAATATAGTATATTTATACTAATTTTTTTTTTACAATTTGGACCCTTGTTCTAACACTCGTCCCAAATGCCGAATATCATATATTATGAGACTATGTCCGTATGTCTTTTTAAATCATGAATGTTCTGAATCAAATGATCAAGTTTGCATCTATGTGAATATGCCAAAACATTTGTTTTTTTCATTGATTTGGTCCCTTTTTCCAGCAATCACCTCATTTAACCTCGAAAAAAGAAGATAGAATAATCCTGAAATGAAACTAAACGAAGCCCCAATTTATAAATGAATGCAAAAATGAAATAAAGATTACTTTTGGGGGAAAGAATTCCATTTCTTATAAAACAATATTTTCTATTACTAAAAAATGTACATAAATTCTTGATTGATGACTAATATATAAATCGCATCCCTGTTATTCAATCACGAATTTTCGATATAATATTTTTTACCGCCTTATTTTATAATAAATGTCTCATAGTTAATGTAATTATATTATAATTCTGAATTTATTTAAAGACAAATACAGTATTTAATTAAAAGACATAATTTATTCATCGAACACGATTCATCGCTACTATTTTGCCACGCACTCCTTGTCTCACCCCTCCCTTTTTCATTTTCATAGATATTCTGGGGACAAATTTTTTTGTTTTTAAAAATCTATTTTTCATTCCCCTCTTTAAATGTACATGACGCTGACATTACGTAATTTTGCCCAGAGAGAAAGCATCGTTATGGACGATGAATAAATTTACTCAACTATTAATATTACAGAAAATAAAAATCTCAATATAGAAAACTCACTAATTTAAAGAATTGAACTGTCATCCAAATCAAATTCTACCTGGAACATCCCCTCTCCAATGTATTTTCTTGTAATTTTCAATAATATAATACAGGTTACGTATTAATGAATTTAAAATTATATAAGGTTCGTTCCTTACCACTCTCAAAAATCGGGTAATAAATCAATAGAATATTTCCAACCATCACTAACAGGTAAGCTAATCATTTTTCTAAACATTAACAATTAATTTTACGTGACTAAAGTCTTTTAATTCAGTATATGTGCGTAAAAAATCAAATAGTATTTGAATTAATATTTTTGTATTTCTAGTAAATTTGTCGCATAAACACACGAAATATTCCTTAATGAGCATTGCTAACCCTTTAGAATATTATAACCTAGTAGCTCCAAAAATTTTTAAGATCGGAAATTTGTTACAAGACACCGTCGTAGTTCTTCAATACAATATCTTTCCTGGTAGAGTTTGGAACCGATATTCAACCTTCGGATTTAAATCTGATTTCCCTTCGATTCGAATTAAAATTCGGAATAAAACGAAGGAACTGGATATATATAAATCCGAAACCGAAGGTTCGGCTGCTTAGTTTCATGAATAATCCGAAGGAATCGAAGGAAACCGAATATATTATAGGTTAAAATAAATCAAGTTTTAAAAGCTAAATCTGGTTCGAAACACTTTATTCAGAGAATTGATGTATTAATAATCCAAGATTTTTTTTTTTTGGAACAATTACAAATAGATAATGTATGTCATTTCATAAAGATTACAGAATTTACAGAATTCATACCAACTATAAAGTTAGGCGATGCTCCAGAAAATGATGATAAAGGTTGAGAAACCTGTAAATATGTTTAATACATTAATATGACTTTTCCTTATTCTAAACGTTTTTTTATCACATAAAAAAAATTAGTTCATATGCTCCACAGGAGAACGAATTTTTTAAAGATTTTTTTTATAATCTACATCATTTTCAAGAACATAGAAAGAGTCATAAGGATAATCATTGTGGTAGACTGATAAAAGTTGATTTCGCGATAATATTTAAATGTGTCTCAGGTATCGATTTGCGTCAGTTGATAGAGACGTGCGTCAGATGCAACATTAAGGTATTATTAAACATTAAAATTTTCCAGTCCTCAATTTTTTATTTTATTTAATAAATTATGCACAAAATTCCGTTAAATAAATTTTTTTATTTAAATAAATTTTTTTTTTGTCCAATTCAAATTATATTTTGACCGTACCCTGAAATGAGTCGATTTAATCAGTTACCCTGTAAAATAATCCATGTTTCTTTCACATGAAAATTATTGATTTGCAGAAAGATATAAATTTAATTAAATCAGATAAAAATTTTTCCAGAAATTTTCCTTAACAGTTCATAAAATAATGTAATAAATTTGCTGTAAAAATAAGTTTTTAAAGTACATAAATTTTTTAATATTGATTCTCTAAATCTATCGAAACATTTATTTGAAATTTGCAGTTCTATTTCATAAAAAATTATAAATTTTATTTAGATGAAAGACCTTTTTTATATTTACGAATAGGTGCGTAAGCCTTCAATTAATACGATATTTTGCTCTTTTTTGACATCTGTCTTATTTTAAAATTTCTCGAGATGAAATATTCGAATTGTTCATCTTTATTTTTTAAAAACTTGTATTTTAAATAAAATAAATGCACTTGACATATGTAGGTACGAAATCATCAATTTTTTTACTGCCGTAATCATAATTGGATGAATGATTTTCACGGCGCAGCCGTGAAAATCACGGTATCCGTACCATAAAGCCCTTTAATATGCTTATTTTGACTAATAATGATAAGACTTTTTATTAGACTTTTTACCCATCTTTTTAAATGAACACCACCCGTGAAAATATCACAAATTTTAACTAGGACCGTGGGATAAATATTTAATAAATACATTTACATTTATTTAAGATATACAATATGTTATATGAATAAACATTATATTATATGAGTACTAATTCAATGAATTCAATAAAAATATGAAGAAAATTTAATAATACAGATATTAATAAATGATTAAACAATACAAACAATACACAATTAAAGAACTGAGAAATAATTTATCAAATACAAACGAATAATGATTAAACAATACACGAATAACACGATTAAAAAATTTCAAAAAAAAACATTTTTTGATACGCATATCTTCACGTGATTTCATGATTAATATGTAAAATTTGGAAAAATGAAGTCAAAAAAAAGGCTAATTTATTTAATCTATGTTTCACAATCAATTACGTAATAGGGTGGAGGTACTATACTAATATTTACGAATTTGTAATATCATAATTTAGAAATAATAATGAATTCAAATATAATTTATTTGCAATATACAGTTAATAAATAATAAGTCTACTAATTCAAACTTTACATTTTAAATATCAATTTCAAATTCATTTGCTTTCGTTTTATAACAAAATTCTAAAAAGTATTAAGTTCATTAATATTGACTTCTTTAATTTGTTATACGAAGATAATTTAACGAAACATACCACAATTAGTATCTTCAATCAGATTATTTTCAATCATTCTTTTTTCACCTTCATATTTTTTTAAAAAAAAGTTATTAATAATGTAAAGCATAAACCATAAAAAATATACAGTAAATAATTACCTGTATTATTTTTTGGATAAAGTGGCACTAAATAATTAAACAAAAAGTGTTAAATTTAATAGTATTATAAACAATTTAATAAATCAGGTTAAATTACCTAGTGTTGAAATTATCGTAAATATTTCATTGCTTAATTGTTTACTTTTTGGATTATCTATAGGTGCAATATCTGACGATTTTATAATTTCTGTTGGATTACTAACTTCTTCTTCTAATATATCATATAACTTTTTATTTATATCAGCAGCTTTTGGTCTTTTAATTGGATCAGAATTCCAGCATTTTTGTATCAGTTCAATATAATCCTTAGGTGCATTGGCTATTATTGGAGGGAGAAGACCATCGTAACATATTTTACTCACAAGTCCAACATCTTTAGTTTGATCCTCAAATGGTAATCTACCTGTCATAAGTTCCCACATGATCATACCAAAACTGTAAATATCTGAAGATGTAGTATATTCTTTACCTTGCAAAATCTCTGGAGCCATATATGGAATAATACCATATACATTACTATCATTTGTGGATCCCAATGCCGATTTACTAATTCCTAAATCACTTATTACTACATCATCTTCATTTTCACAAAGAATATTTCCACTATGCAAATCTCGATGAATAATATCTTGATTATGAAGATGATCAAGTCCTTCGGCAATATACCTGAGTATTTTTAATTTTTTATTCCATTCAATATTATAAAAGTCTTTACTTCTTGTAATATAATTTCTCAAATCAAATTTATAATATTTCATAATGATAATAAAATTTTTAGTATCGGGATTTTGAGTAATTCCATAATATTCATTTAAATAAAGTGAAGAATTAATGAAATTATTATTTAAATCAGCAATATAAATCATTAAAAGCTGAAATTATAAATTAATGTAAGTTTCTAAAAAAAAATTAGATTATTGTTAAAATTAAATAAAATAATTTGTTTACCTCTTTTAACTCCTCAATTGAAATATTTTCAGAGTTATTAAGTTGTTTTAAAGCAACTATTATATTAGGATCTTCATATTCAAAATCTTCTTTTTCTTCATTCCAACTATGTGGTCCATCAATCCATGTGGCTTTATAAATTTTACTAAATCCTCCCGCTTTAATAAATTCTATGTTTTTAAATCGATCATATGAAATAAATTTCATTCTGCTAGATTCTTGAACAAAATTAATTTGTGTATATTTGATGAATTCATCTAAAATTTCATTTCCACTTTGTTTATATAATAATTTTGCTTGATAACAAATTATACAAATTTGTTGATTCTTTTTTGAAGCTCTTCTTTTCATATGGCATTCATGACATTCATTATAATTCTCTTCTTCTGATTCAATTATAAATCTTTTCATTGGCTTAATTAGTTTTATCTTTCTATTTAAATCATGAATATAACAATAAGTTATATTTTTAGTTTTAGAATTATTTTGTGCAGTTTCAATTGCTTTTTGGTACCAATAAAAAGTATTTTTTAAATTCTTTTCTGTTCCATTACCATATTGATAGCATAAAGCTAAATTATACATTGAATTTTCATGACCTTTTTCTGCTGCTTTTTGATTCCAATAGAAGTATTTTTCTAAATTCTTTTCTGTTCCTTCTCCATTTTCATAATATCTAGCCAAATTAAACATTGCATTAGCGTTACCATTTACTGCGGCTTTTTGATACCAATAAAAGGCTATTTTAAAATTCTTTTCTGTTCCTTTCCCATTTTCATAATATATAGCCAAATTAAACATTGCACCAGTGTTACCATTTTCTGCAGCTTTTTGATACCAATCAAAGGCTTTTTTAAAATTCTTTTCTGTTCCTTCCCCATTTTCATAACATATGGCCAAATTAAACATTGCATTAGTGTTACCATTTTCTGTGGCTTTTTGATACCAATCAAAGGCTTTTTTTAAATTCTTTTCTGTTCTTTCTCCATTTTCATAATATATAGCCAAATTAAACATTGCATTAGTGATACCATTTTCTGCGGCTTTTTGATACCAATCAAAGGCTTTTTCTAAATTCTTTTCTGTTCCTTCCCCATTGTAATAGCATACAGCCAAATGATTCATTGCACATTTATTACCATTTTCTGCTGCTTTTTGATACCAATAAAAGGATTTCTCTAAATTTTTTTCTGTTCCTTCTCCATTTTCATAGCATTCAGCTAAATCATGCATAGCATAATGGTCATTTCCATTTTCTGCTGCATTCTGATACCAATAAAAAGCTTTTTTTTAGGTTTACTTCCGTTCCTTTCCCATTTTTATAACATTTGGCTAAATGATTCATTGCACATTTATTACCATTTTCTGCTGCTTTTTGATACCAGCCAAATGCTTTATCAAAGATCTTTTCTGTTCCTTCCCCATTTTCATAATATATAGCCAAATTAATCATTGCACCAGTGTTACCATTTTCTGCGGCTTTTTGATACCAATAAAAAGCTTTTACTAAACTCTTTTCTGTTCCTTCTCCATTTTCATAACATATAGCCAAATTAAACATTGCATTAATGTTACCATTTTCTGCGGCTTTTTGACACCAATCAAAGGCTTTTTTTAAATTCTTTTCTGTTCCTTTCCCATTTTCATAACACTTGGCTAAATGATTCATTGCACATTTATTACCATTTTCTGCTGCTCTTTGATACCAGCCAAATGCTTTATCAAAGTTCTTTTCAATTCCTTTTCCATTTTCATAACATTCAGCTAAATCATGCATAGCATAGTGGTTATTACCATTTTCTGCTGTACTTTGATACCAATAAAAAGCTTTTTCTAAACTCTTTTCTGTTCCTTCTCCATTTTCATAACATCTAGGCAAATTAAACATTGCATTAGTGTGTCTATTTTCTGCTGCCTTTTGATGCCAATAAAAGGCTTTTTCTAAATTCTTTTCTGTTCCTTTTCCATTGTAATAACATATAGCCAAATTAAATATTGCATCAGTGTGTCTATTTTCTGTTTCTTTCTGATACCAACAAAGGCTTTTTCTAAATTCTTTCCTGTTGCTTCTCCATTTTCATAACACATGGCTAAATCAGACATTGCATCCTTATTCCCATTTTCAGCTGATTTCTGACACCAATAAAAAAACTTTTTTGTCGCATTAGTATGACCATTTTCAACCGCCTTTTGATGCCAATAAAAGGCTTTTTCTAAATCCTTTTCTGTTCCTTTTCCATTATAATAACACATTGCCAAATTAAACATCGCATTAATATGACCATTTTCTGCTGCTTTTTGATACCAATAAAAAGCTTTTTTTAAGTTCTTCTCTGTTCCTTTACCATTATAATATAATAATGAAAGAATATATTGTGCTTGCTTATTATCATTTTCAGCTGATTTTTTAATCCAATAAAAGGCCTTTTCTAAGTTCTTTTCTGTTCCTTCACCATTATAATAATGCATAGCTAAAATATTCATAGCACTATCATTATCATTTTCAGCTACTTTTTGAACCCAATAAAAAGCTTTTTCCATATTTTTTTCTGTTCCTTTACCATTTCTATAACATATTGCCAAATTAAACATTGCATTATCATTACCATTTTCAGCTGATTTTTGATGCCAATAAAAGGCCATTTTTATTGCATTAGTGTGACCATTTTCAGCTACTTTTTGAAACCAATAAAATGCTTTTTCTAAATTCTTTTCTGTTCTTTCTCCACTGTAATAACATATAGCCAAAATAAACATTGCGTCTTTATCACCATTTTCTGCTGCTTTTTGGTACCAATGAAAGGCTTTTTCTAAATTCTTTTCTGTTCCATCACCATATTGATAGCATAAAGCTAAATTATACATTGAATTTTCATAACCTTTTTCTGCTGCTTTTTTAAACCAATAGAAGGTTTTTTCTAAATTCTTTTCTGTTCCTTTCTCATTTTTATAACATATAGCCAAATTAAACATTGCTTCTTTATTACCATTTTCTGCTGCTTTTTGAAACCAATAAAAGGCCTTTTCTAAATTCTTTTCTGTTCCTTTACCATATTGATAGCATATAGCTAAATTATACATTGAATTTCCATGACCTTTTTCTTCTGCCTTTTGATACCAATAGAAGGCTTTTTCTAAATTCTTCTCTGTTCCTTTACCATTGTCATAATATATAGCCAAATTAAACATTGCTTCTTTATCACCATTTTCTGCTGCTTTTTGAAACCAATAAAAGGCCTTTTCTAAATTCTTTTCTGTTCCTTCTCCATTGTTATAACATACAGCTAAATGATTCATTGCACATATATTACCATTTTCTACCGCTTTTTGAAACCAATAAAAGGCTTTTTCTAAATTTTTTTCGGTTTCTCCTTTTCCATTATAATATAATTCTGCAAGATCATGCATTGCACGATGATCTAAATTCTTTTCTGTTACTTCTCCATTATAAAATAATTTTGCAAGGTTATGCTGTGCATAATATGGGTTAACAAATTCATCAATTTTGTTCCTTATCATATTTATTAAGATAAAAAAATTTACAACTTATTCCTTTTTTTTTTTTTTTACAAATTAAAAAAATTGCAAATCTTAATAAAGTTGAATCTTAAATAGTTTACAAATATTATTTGACAAATTTTAAAGCTCGATGATATATTTATATTGTTGTAAATCGATCTTTACAAGAAATTTGAATGGTGAGGTGCGTGGGTTAAAGTCAAAATATTGATAGCCATCTTATTTATATACAACCGGAGTCTTAGCCCACGTAAATTCCGATGGAATTCTTTAACCGAGTGTATATCCGAAATAAATGTCTAAAAATAAATTTCATATCCAAACTTTAAATGGTTATAAAGATAAAATTGGTTAGATAATAAAGTTCTGGCATAATCAGTATGATAGACCATTTGCATGTTTTGTAATCCTAAATTATGACAATCAAAAGTGTGCCACATTTTTGCTGCAGGAATTCTTTAACCGAGCGCATACCCGAAATAAATGTTTAAAAATACATTTCATATAAATTTTAGTTGGTTATAAAGATAAACTTGGTTAGATAATAAATTTCGGGCATAATCAGTATGATAGACCATTTGCATGTCTTGTAATCCTAAAGCGGCAGGCGCACCGGCCACAAAAATGCACACTTTTGCCAATGACGTAGTCTTCATAAATAATTCATTAAATGATTCGTTGTACGATCTGCATCAAAGTTAATGTACAAAAACTGAATTCAGGAACAATGAATAAACATATAAAAAACTTAATTGATTAGGAACATGAGTACATGACTATTTATCTTATTTTATATAATTTTAGGAACTATTGTAAAAATTCAAAAATTTCACCAATGTTTTAAGCATCTACTTTGGCGTTTATTATCTCACTATGCATAATATGTATTCATAGAACAACCCTATTTTGGGAAGCAGTAACCCCATAGTGCAGAAAGGAAATTTAATTCAATAAAAATTTCAGAGTTCAATAATGTCTATGTCATAAATTATAAATTTAATTCATACTGTTTGCCTAAAGTTTATATATTTTCTTAGAAAAAATATTAACATAGTACATACATGTACTGTATATAATTATTCCTTTTCTAGTGTAAAAAAATTTGAACTGTGCATTGATCTATAAATTTTTTAGAGCAATTTTTTTAAACTAGGCGGAAGCGTTTGCCAGACATATTATAATCATTAGAAAATTTTTCTTTCTCGGCATCAGATACGGAATACGGATACACAAGAATTAAAAAAACACCCTCTCAAAATAAATCTGATTGAAAAAAAAAGAAATAATTTTAGAAAAAATAGAACCGAAAAAAAGTTTTTTTTCAAAACTTCCCAAAAAATCAAACTTACTAAATTAGATCTTTTAATAATAGTCTTCTTACTCTTCTAGATTACATTTTTTGAAGAAATTTGTAAAAAGATTTTTTTTTTATTCCTCCCAAAATGAAAATTGTATACTAAATTGTACAAATAAATTATATACACGTTCCTAAATTATTTATTGAAAAAATTAATTAAAAAAAAAATTTTATTAAATTATTATTTTTATTAATAATAAAAAAAAAAGCTTAAAAAGCTTATTATGATAATAAGTTCAAACAGATCAATAAATATTGTATTTACCGATCGAAAAATTTTTTTTGATACGGGATATGCATATTGTAAGGGCCGAAATTACCTACTGAAATTATTGCAATATTATATTCAGTTTAATAAAAATATGTATCCTAAAATATTGGTTTGATTAGATTCAAATTCATGGAAAACTTATCTAATCTATGTGAAATTATACATTGTAAATTTAATTGTCATTTCTATATAAGTTTACTTATCTGTTATAGAACAGAAAAGTAAAAAAAAGTGCTTACTCTATTGTACAGGTGACGCGCGCCTGAGGCGCAGCACAATCACTAAAATTGGCTAAAAATCGTTCAAAATTCTAGTTGAAATAAATAAATTTAAAATTTAAAATCTTGTATAACGATAGATACAATTAATTATTTCATAGAATTTTCACATAACTTCCGTTCAACTGGATAAAAGATCGTACTGCAGCTAGTTAGAGGTTGTAATTAGAATAATGTAACAAAAAATAGACATACAATAAATTTCATTAAAATAGTTCCGCCCTAATTAACTTTTTTCAACTTCCCGCGCTTGTGTACTGACAAAACATATAAAACATATAAATGATAAATTCAAATTTTTCACCGCGGTTATTGAAAACGTTAATAAAAGAAAGGTGAAATTATATATTACTTAACAATGGAAGAAAAAGATGGCGCACAAGTATATTGTTCTAAAAGACAGCCCAATTTGATTGGATCGATCATAAACGGTCTTATGGATCAGGTCAATAGATATATAATTTACAGTACATACCAAACTAAGAAAAGATTATTTAACGAAGAATATATTTTGCGTAAACTTTGCAAAGTAAAAGAATTGAATTTTATTGTAAATGAATAAACCTATTATGCTAATGGCGTAATTCGTATTAATTATCTACATACAGTTATCTAATAACAATATATAATTTTGATAAATGGCCTAAAACACGAATCACAGTGAAGCATTCATCCTTCTAAATATTCATTTAATTTAATTTGAGCATCTTGATCTCCTTGTTCAGCAGACTTTTTAAACCAATAAATTGCTTGATCTATATTTTTTTCAACTCCACTACCATCTTCATACATTAAAGCAAGATTATATTGAGCCAACTTATTGCTCAATTTTGCTGCCTTTTGATATAATTTAAATGCTTTTTGCTCATCCAAATCAGTTCCGATTCCGTTATTATAGCAATATCCTAAGTTATTTATTCCATATGAATTTCCTAATTCTGCTGCTTTTTTATATAATTCAAATGCTTTATATGTATTGATTTCAGTTCCAATTCCATTTTCATAACAACTTCCTAAGTAAGTTATTCCGAAAGGATTTTCTAAATCTGCTGCCACTTGATATAATTTAAATGCTTTTTGTTCGTCAACATTAATTCCAATTCCATATTCATAACACCATCCTAATTTACTTATTCCTTGTGAATTTCCTAACTTTGCTGCTTTTTGATATAATTGAAATGCCTTTCGTTCATCAACATCAGTTCCAATCCCATTTTCATAACAAAAACCTAATCTGAATATTCCGCTTGGATAATTTTCTTCAGATAATTTTTCAGATATTTTAAAAACTCTATCATGATCTTTTTCAAAATATATGTACATAGAGGAAAGATCAAATTGCGCTGCAACATTTCCTAATCTTGCTGCTATTTTATATAATAAAAGTGCATTTCTTCTGCTACCATTGGTTCCAATTCCGTGGTGATTGAAATATCCAAATAAATAAACATAATTTGAACTATTAGAACTATTAGATAGATTATTTAAAAGCCAATTATACATTTCTTCTGGTTTAATATCATACTTATCAATATAATTAAGAACAAATCGAGCTCTTACTTTTTCATCTTTTCCTTTATTTAATATTTCAAAATAAAGGTCAACCAATTTATTAATTATAACGCTCAAATCTTCCTCATAAATGTTCTTATTAATATCTTGAGTTGTAGGTTCTATTTCCTTTATATCTAATTTATTAAAACTTTGAGTAACTTGCAATAATTTCATATGTAATGGATTTGGTATATCATTATTGTTTATTAAAAATTTAGAATAATCATCTGTTTCACAATATCCTTTAAAAGTTTCGGACATTATAAATTATGATTATATAGAAAAAGTTTAAATTTACGTAAAAAAGGAACTTTCAAAAAAAGTATGTTAAAAGTATCAATTTAAAAATCAAAGTACGATTTATATAAATTTATTACATGCTGTACTACTATGAATGAACGCGAATGAACGCCAATCAAAAAATGTCCATCAATTTTCTATATTCGGTTTCAAAATTAAATTTCACGTTTTAAAAAATAAATAAAGAAATAAAAATAATTAGGAGGGTTTAAAAATGGAGTGTTTACACGCAAGATGAGTTTAGTAACGCTTTTTATAACTAAACAAGTTTTTTTATTAATAAACTTTTCAAGATTACCGGTTTCTGTATTTGGCGGTAAAATAAATGGACTTTTTTGTTGTTTTGCTAATATTTTCAAGAAAATGAGTAAAATACCAGGTTAAACTCAGAAACTTTTATTAAAAAGTTTTTTTTAAAAAAAAAAAAAAAAAATTTAGTAACATAATTTTTATTATTAAGAATCAAAGATTACATAATTATTAAAATACCTAGAAAATTATTAAATTAATTAATAAATTCTCTATAACTAAATATTAACTATTTATAAGTTGTCAGGACTACTTAACTAAACTAAAACTAAATTAATAAAATCTAGATATTAATCTCTAATAACTAAGTATACTTCGTCACTATAACTATTCCATCTTATAGCATCCTATTTACCTTATATCATGATTTTTTAATTGTTCTATTATCTATAATATTTTGTAATGCTTTATCACTCGTTACCAAATTGATTAATTTTTCTTCATCTTTTTTTAGTTTTTTATTTATTTTACTTGTGTTTTTTATAATATTATCTTTATTTTTCTTCCCTAAATCTCCTTCCTCTTCTCTATCTTTTACCTGCAATTTACGCTTTCTTTTATCCATTCTGCTAATCCCTTTTTTTTGTTCTATTTCAGTTACTTCCTCACACCTTTTAATCCAAACTTTAATCTTCAGTTGATCATAACAATACGACCATAAGTTAAAAATTATCAAATTATCTTCTTCGTTTCTCTGTCTTTCGATATATCATTAAAAGCGTTGTTGTATATTCCCCTTAACATTTCCCATTCTCTGGTAAACCCAATAGCACCTGGGAATGTTCTTGTAAACATTGAATAAATTGAATATTACAATCCCGTAGAATCTCTATATCATTTGGATCTCCTTTTTCTTGTAATATTTCTTTAAATTCGAAAATTGCTGGCTCAATAACTTCTCTTATGGTGAACTCGTTATATTCGCATAGCCACACGTGGTCCCAATTATCAATCTCTTTTTCGCGCGCATTTAAGACATAATTCACTATTAATACCATTTACTCCCCTCTTGTACAAAACACTGTATGTAGGGTAATTCTTTGAGTAGGTTTTTAATCTTATATGATTTGTCCTTTGTATCTGCGTCGCTGCATTGGTATTTATTATAATCATTTCTGTTATTGATGAAATCCAGAGATTTCACCCAATCAAACCCATCTCTGAAATTATAATAAGATAGGTCTTCTATTTTGGCGCAATTTAGAATTTCGTTTTTCCATATTGCATCTGTACGCTTTTTTGCCCAGCTTACAATCAGATTATTTTTCCAATACAAATTATAGTCATTTACTACTAACGCTTCAACTATCAACGATACCTCATAAATATGTGCCGTTGTGTTTTTCCTTCCCAAATTAAATTTTCTTACCTCTTTTCTAGTAATGTCTAAACTTCTTAACTCACTGATACTGCATATGTCAATATGATTATTAAAGGTTTAACCAATATTTTATAAACATTAATTCTATATAATGCTCATCATCTATTTTCCTTCGATGGCTAGCTATCTCCATAAACTCTTGTATCGACGCTAGCACTTTGTTATTTACTCCCACACATATTTCGTTGTCACTACCCAGCAATAATAAAACCATGATCACGCACTCTATTTTCGCTTTCGTTTCTTGCTATACACTAATTTTAACTTCATTCCTGGCGTAATCCATACCTTGCCTTATTACTGTATCCAAATCACTAAATAATACGATTCGATTTTCCCTTTATATTTCACCAGACTTTTTAATTTCAGACAATCTATTATAACGAACAATTTTTTCTTTAAATATTTCGAACTTTCGTTATCGATTAAATTGGTTTTCAATATATTAATTATCTCCTCACTTTCAGCTTCAACTATTTCTTCAATCATATTTATCCTTAAATTATAATCTACGTCTCATTTTTTTTTCATGTTGAGCACACGTAATCAAGATATCATTTTTCTTCCATATATTCCTAACGTTTCGTACGGTTTAACGTCTTGATCTTTGATCTTTATAGAAGAGAGATTTGAAACAACTGAAAACAAAATCAAGACTTTTGTGAGGCGCAGCAAAAAATAAATGACGCGAAATAGATTTAAGAAAAAAGGAAGGTGAAATCATACAAAGGTACACAGAAAAATGACGAAATAAGAAAAAATAGAAGTACCATGAGTCAAGATATAGAAAAAGTAAAAAGGCAGCAAATTTATGTACTGACATGCAGATGAGAAGTAGGACAGGGAATAAATTACACAAAGAAAATTCAGATCAGGTTGATGGTAGCACGAATCGAATATTTTCTTCATCTCGCCACTAGTAGCGCACCTGTCTCGCGAGAACGCCGACACATAGGATTTACGTTACCGACTCCAAACGATACTCACGAATTGATCCATATACGGTGGACTTCATTGAATTTTTCACATTTGGGCTCTTGGTCTTCCAATAATAGAGTTTATATCCGCTATCCGTTAAAAAATGGATATCTGCGGATATTCGATTGAACGGACAGAATTTCTGGATATCGACGGATATCTGGATATTATCCGTTAAGAATAACTTGGACCAATTTTATAATGCCAGCCAGAATTATGCTAAAATATTTCCTTTTTTAGAAAGATATATTCTCTCTCAGCTAGTTTCTTTTTTTTTCTTTTGATGCGGCCATTCGGGTAAGGGTGTTACCCTCCTGTGATTTTTCCTTTTTTTACCACCAGTGAAGCGGTCTTTAATGAAGATTTGGTTATCAGTTTATTTATGTATTACTTTTGATTCTATTATATAGTTTCTTTGTAATCTTTACTGTAACTTTATTTACTCTGAGAAATAAAAATAAAAATAAAAAAATAAAAACTTCTTCATCTCGCCAATATCGAATACTTTACTTGAATAAAAAAAATAAAACTTCTTCATCTAGCCCTCGCAATGTAACCAATTTAATCGTATTATTAGAAACTACTTTAAACAATCCTCGTCTCCCGGTCTCTCCCCCAAAAAATATGTAACTCGGCTATCCATAATAGGATTTATCCTAACATCATTAATGTTTCGACAATCAAATAGCTTGCTCAACACCATCTGATTTTTTACAACCTCTTTACGCACCTTTAATAGATTAGAATTATTGCATATTCCCCATATTATACTTTGTTACTGACTCAAAAAATTTTCATTTCATTAAAGGTCAGAAAAGAAACATATCATGTTCCGGACCAATTATATTATTATGGCCGGGAAATTAAACAAACTATTCGCATTAAAACATGACCTGCGCCAAATGTCTTCGATATTTGGTGCTCTAAAATCTAAATATAACACTTCCACTTAAACATTATCCAAAACCCTTCACTAAACGACCATCCATTCCTATTAAACAAACGATCCATGCCTGCCAAAGAATTCCCGGGTCGCTACATGTGGTCTGAAAGAATCAAGGATATCATTTAGGGTAAAATAATTCAAAAGACTTACTACGAAGGACAAACTCCTATGCTATACATCGAACACTGGACATTCGATACTTCCCTATAACTCGACCAACATCTATCAACTCGTTTTGTCGGCAATTATATACCTAGAAAGATGATCTTACTACTATTTGATTCGTCTCAATTAGCGGGGTAACTTATTGTTATTTGGCAGGATTAAGTTAATCGATACGTTTATTTTGAACGCTAAAAAATTTGTCACCACTCACCAACAGACGTAACGACAAATGGTACAGATAACTGGTCAAATCATATTTAAATTTTGATGTTTCGATTTCTATTTTTTCTTCTTTCCCCTCTTTTGACATCTAATTCCTCTCTTTCGACTCAGTTTCCCTTAGGATAGTTCTCTTTCATAAAAGACGGGTTCGTATATTCTGGTGTAGGCGTCCAATATTAATAAAGTACTTCAGTGGGCTATTAGACTAATCTTTTCTTTGACTTTTTTCTTATTCTAGTTTGTATTCTGTCAAATCAACCAGTTTTCTCAATAAAATAAATAAATAAATAAAGTAAGAGCCGAACTACATCTTAAAATAGGGACGATGAAGTCTAATAAAGGTCTCTTTTATACTGAGTATTGGGAGTTTTTCAGTCAGATGACATTGTCACAGAATCACTTTGCTCTAGAAAGATAACCACAGTACGGAGCCTAAAGCGGGCCGGAATTAAATTATTGCCAAAATTAAAGATCATAACATACGTGAATCATATGACTCGGTAAGTTATACTAGGTGTAAGCGGTAACTTACACACTAGCACAGATCTTCAGATGCATGCCGAAATTTTACCGATTTTTCCGATTTCTGCATATCGTCGATCCACACAACAATATTGATTTAGTTAAATTTGTTACACAACAGTAATTGACGTCCGTATATTTATTACACAAAGGCGTAAAAACAAAGTTTTTTCTCATTTCTTACGCCTGCCTTAAAACAATTTTTTTATTTATTATTTTTAATTTCTTTTTTTTTTAAAAATGTCTTATCAACTCCCAGCCGACTGTTATAATGAAATTATTGAATATTTAGAAGAAGATAAGCACACTTTACATTCATGTTTGTTAGTTGATCGTCTTTTGTGTGGAATTTCTGTTAAAATTTTATGGAGGAATATTTGGAATTTTAAGAGTTACTATCAAAAACGTCCATTGAAAGTAACATCATCTATTCTTAGTACATTAATTGCTTGTCTTCCCAACGAATCAAAAGAGCTCTTATATATAAATAAAATTTTCATTTCAACACCTACTTCAAAACCACCACTTTTCAATTATGCAGCATTTTGCAAAGTTCTTTTAACACATAAAATTATTAGATTGGTTGTTGATTTCTTTGAAGCCAAACCATCTACTAGTCCATTAAGTATAAAAGATAGAAATTATTTAGTTGTAAATGAAATTATCAAAATGTTTACGAATCAAATTTATTCTTTAGAAAAATTGACTTGTTATTGCTCTAACATCAATTTTTCTTTCACTCATTTTCCTGGAGTAAGGAATCTTTCAGAATTATGTTGTAATTCAAATTTTCCTTCTAATTTCTTTCATCAATTATCTCAAGTATGTCATAATTTACAATCAATTTCTATAGAATTTAGTAATGATATTTCAAATGAGTTAATAGAATTAATTTCTTTGCAAAATAATTTGAGACATTTAAACTTAATAGCTTTTGATTTGAATTGGGCAAATATTATACCTGCTTTAACAAAACACTCTAATACTATAACAAAATTACATATTTATAGTGGCAATGATAATTCACCATTATCATTTATTAATTCATTCTCAAATTTACAAGAAATTGCATTTACATTTTTTGATGAAAATGATTATGAAGATTTTTCAAATTTACAGCATGCTAATTTTTCTAAATTACAAATTTTAAAATTTCCTTCTCTATGTCCAAACCCCGAACATGTGATGAATTTTTTAGAACATAATGGACAAACTCTCAAATATTTTTATACATCTGAAAGTGATAAAGCTTTAAGATTATCTGTTGCTAAATTTTGTCCAAACCTTAGAAGACTCTTTGTAATATTTAAGAATGATGAACTAGATGTATTAAAAACTATACTTTGTAGTTGTCAAAACTTGGAAGGTATTAAAATTCAGTGTGGGAAAAGGTTTTTAAGTCAAAAACAAGTATTAGAAACTATTGTAAATCATTCACAAAATAATTTTTGCGAATTAAAAATATACAATATTGGTAAAAAATCAGATTTATCTCAAGAAGATTTGGAATCATTTCTTATAAATTGGAATAATAGGACGCCAAAAAAATTACTTAAATTAATAATTATTAAAAATGAAGGTCATCATAATGATTTTGATGATTATGAAGAAAATATGAAGATAATTAATAAATATGAAAGTTTTGGTACTATTAAATTTATGACTAAAAGGAGTTATGAAGAAGAAAAAGATGAAGAAGAAGATTATTATTTTTATTATCATTATTAACTAATTCAAGAATATAATATTAGTTTATAAATATTTGTATTATTCATTATTATATAAATAAAGTAAAAAATTTATTTTATTATATACTAAATAGTATTTTTTTTTTTTTTTTGTCATGATACTATAAAGAATGGGAACGTAATTACGTAACTTCTTTTTTGGAGTCATGTAGCACAATCATTTCCCAATTTGGAATTTATTAATTGTTTCCAAATTGGTCAGTGACATATACTCTATAAATAATAATAATAAACAAAATAGTTTTTCATTTTTTCTTTTCAAAATAGTGCCAGAAATTCTTTTAACCTTCCTTTGAGAAAAAATCTGAAGTGCAAGGGAAATTTAAAGAACAGGAGTTTCCTTACACCCCTGTAAACGGCACATCAGTTCATTAAAAAAAATGGTAAGATTATCGCTCTGGTCAACAATGGAAAAATGAAAATTTGACCCCTAAAAAACACTTTTTGCATCCTCATGTCTATCAATTGCTACAATAGTATAACAATTAGTTTAAATAGGTTAAATTTGATATTTTAAATTATTTCTTTTCATTTCTCTGTTTAACTTCATCTTCTTTATTTATCTTTTGCATTTAACACTTTATTTTTAAAAATTTTATTTCTTAGCAATCATGTTCTTGTTATATATTATTAATGTCAGAAGTAAGTCTTTAATTGAAACACAAAAGCAGTCTAATGAAAGTATGTACAGTAATCTTTATGAAAAAACTTCATTAAATAATTAATATTTTAGAAAAGTTCTTTCTCATGATTGACAAAAATCAAGATACCCAAATTACTCAAGACTGGCAAAATCGAAATGCCCAAATTAATCAAGATCAGCAAAGTCATGGAGTACAAATTAATCGAATGAATCAAGATCAAGAAATTTAAAAAGATTGACAAACTAAAAATTACTCATCATCTAATGATGAACAGCAATTATCTGATCCGGAAATCTTAAAGAAACATGGATGAAATGATATGAATATTTGATTCAGTAAAAAGAGCTTAAAAAAATTAATAGTGTTTCCTTACTCTGAATTACTACATAATTCAAAAATAATATTGTATTTTATTTTTATTAGGGGTGATAGTAATGAATACTATTTAGTTCCTAAAGAATTTTTGGAAAATTAAATAATCAATAAGGCTATTTGAAAAATCAGTTGAAACAAGATAAAAAGCTTAAAATAATTGGCAAAGTTCTCAAAAAAATGTATTGAGAAGATACCTTAGCACCTAATTTCTTTGATTGCAATATTTTTAGATGCAATTGATTGTTATTTTTTAATATAAGGGCATAGTTACAATCACTAAAGAGATTCAAAAAAATATCTTTATATCCTACCCAAGAGTTATTTAAAGAATATTTAAAAGTGCATATTGAAAAGGGTTAAAGGAATATTGGCTTATACATTGTACCAACATTTTCAAACTTAATACATTGGTGATTTAAATGGTTCCATTGTGAATTAATGTCTATAGTAAGTGTGATTCTAATTTTATTGATATTTTAATTTGAATAATGTTATTAATAATGTATCAGTGAATTTATTGTTATCTTAATCTGAATAATGTACTAATGTACTAGTGTTTAGAAAAATGTCATTGCCATGGTACAATTTCAAAAGATGTAAAATTGCACTCTTTAAATATGTAAAATTCAGAAATAAAAACAAATGCAGGAAAAAAAAGACCAACAGGTTATTGAAGCATATAATAACTTATAGATAATAATGGGCATTGCTATTAATATCAATTGTAATGGTTGCCAAAAGAAAAAGAAGTTTGTTTATTAACATCTATAATTGCCTTTACTCTTACAGTTTGCTGTGTAGTTTGAAATCCACAAAGTAATGAAATTAAGTGTACTGAAGAATCTGTTAAAAAGATATACTGTTTTCTTGGTATGTATTATCAATTGTTTATTAGTGATGGTGATAATTTAGTATATAGTTTTCATCAGTATCAATATTTTATCCTTTAATTTTATCAATTTCAATTTATTTGTAATAGGAACTATTAAATGAAAAAAAAAAATCCAAATTCAAATGATCTACCAAACAGAAACAAAGATCATGAGAGAACCGAAGAAAACTCTGATAATAATCTGATGATGAAAACCTATCCAAGTAACAAGTTCTTTTCTTGGAAAAATTTTTATTTCTTAGAATACTTTTAATTTTACATGCTATATTATATATAATGGAGAGTTTTATTGTTAGTAGATTGTAAATTAGAATAATGTAACAAAAAAATAGACATACAATAAATTTATTTTAAAATATATTTTTGCATCATTATGCTTTTTTATTAATTGGATAAATACGTTTATTTTATATTATTAAATAAATATACTACATTTTATTAATTACATAAATATACTTTTTTATTAGCTGGATGAATATATTATTATTTTTGTTAATCAAATAACGTTCTATTTTTTTTATCTTCGCATACGTATATCGCCGTAGGTATTGTAGATTTATGTAATTTTTCACATGTATTTATATATTCATAGTATTTTATAGAAATTAATAATATATGGAAAAAGAATTCATAAATCACCTAAATGAATAATAGCCATTTTTTTGTAATAACTAACTAATCGAAAAATAAACTTATATTCTTACGACATGTTTAATTAAATGAATTTACAAAACTTTTCAGTAATGTATTAATCCAACCTTTTATATCATACAAATATGATTTCATAAAAGAATAAAAAAATTTTTCAAACTTAAATCAATCAGCTATTTTTTAAAAAAATTATTCAATTTTTTTAAGCTTATTTAACTTGCTTAGTGCATCCTGATCCCCTTGTTCAGCAGATTTTTTAAACCAATAAATCGCTAGGTCAATATTTTTCTCAACTCCTTTTCCATCTGCATACATTAAAGCAAGATTATATTGTGCAAAATCATTACCCAATATTGCTGCTTTTTGAAATAATTCAAATGCCTTTTTTTTATTAACTTCGGTACCATGTCCATTGTCATAACAACATCCTAAATTATTAATTCCAAATATATGACCTAAATCTGCTGCCATTTGGTACAATTTAAATGCCTTTTCTTTATTAACATCAATCCCAACTCCATCATCATAGCAACATCCTAAGCAATATATTCCATGAGAATTTCCCAAATCTGCCACTTTATGATATAATTCGAACGCTTTTTGTTTATTAACATCAGTTCCAATTCCAACTTCATAACATTTTCCTAAGCTATACATTCCAAGTGAATTCTTTAAATTTGCTGCTTTCTGATATAATTCAAATGAATGTTGTTTGTTAATGTCAGTTCCAATTCCATAATAATTAAAATATCCAAGTAAATAAATGGAATTTGAACTAAGTTGGTTATTTAAAAGCCAACTATAGATTTCTTGTGAATTTGACTTATAATTATTAATATAATCAAAAACTTGTTGTTTTCTTACTTTTTCTTCTTTTCCTTTATTTAAATTTGTTAAAATGAGATTAACTAATTCATCAATTATAATACCTAAATCTTGTTCAAAAATTATTTCGTTAATATTTTGAGTTGTAGGACCTATTTCCTTTACTTCCATTTTATAAAAGTTTTGAATAAATTTAAAAAATTCTTCATGTAATGAACTTGATGTATCAACATTATTTGACATTTGATTATACTTTTGATGATATTCGTTAACATCTTTCATTTTATTACTATAGATATTGTAATTTCACGAAGAAAGAAATTTTTTAATTTTTTAATTTTAAATTAATTTACACAACATAATTTGAATGTATCACGCGTTAATCATTTCTAAATATAGAAATGATTTTATTTGCCGCAGTCAATTTTCTGCGCCACCACGCATATTATGATTTCGAAATTCAGGAATAATTCATGATTGTTAAAAATCAAACTCAGTCAGAATTTAAATATTAACGTCAATTCGCATGTTGTAAGTCGTATATATTGTATTATTCTATTGCATTAATTTACACTTCATAAAATAAGTGTTTTATACGATTTACATCACGTGATATATTAAATTTAAATTGAAATATAATAAGGTCAATTGGAAAAATAAAATCGATAATAAAAAAAACCATAAATATTTCGTAAAAAAAAACATCCATTGTAATATATGTGATAGATTAAATATGGATTATATGGATTACCCAGGAAAAAAAAATAACATCATTCAACTATCTAAAAACAAATTTAAAACTTGCAATATACTGTATGCAAAACGTAACTACCACTACTACAATTTAAGACCATAAAACTATGCAAGAAAATTATCCAATAAAAAAATATATATTACTTCATTCCGGCTATAACAAATCTTCATATAATCCTAAAATTTTAATAAAAATTGTTTAATTTCATTCATTTAAAAGTATATTTAAATCACTTTGAGATTTTATATTTCCTTGTTCAGCAGACTTTTTAAACCAGTAGATCGCTAGATCAAAGTTTTCTTCAATTCCATCTCCAAATTCATACATTAAAGCAAGATTATATTGTGCAAATTCATTTCCCAATTTTGCTGCTTTTTGATATAATTTAAATGCTTTTTTCTCATCAAAATCAGTTCCGATTCCATTATTATAACAATAACCTAAGTTATTCATTCCTTCTGAATGTTCTAAATCTGCTGCTTTTTGATATAATTTAAATGCTTTTTGTTCATTAATTTCAGTTCCAATTCCATTTTCATAACAAACTCCTAAGTTACATATTCCATGTAAATTTTCTAAATTTGCTACACTTTCATATAATTTAAATGCTTTTTGTGAATCAACTTCGGTTCCAATTCCCATTTTATAACAATATCCCAATAAATTTATCCCACATGGATACTTTCCTTCTGTTAATTTTTTTGATAATTCTAAAGCTTTTTCATAATTTTGATCAACGCCATCTCCATCCATACACATATTAGCGAGTTCAAATTGGGCTACAATATTTTCCAACTCTGCTGCTTTTTGAAATAATTCAAACGCATACTTCTTGTTGATATCAATTCCAATTCCATGATAATTAAAATATCCAAGCAAATAAATGGAATTTGAACAGGTTATATTCTTTTGAAGCCAATAATAGATTTCTTGTATATTTATCTTATGGTTATTGATACAATCAAAAAATTGTTGCTTTATTGCTTTCTCTTCTCGCCCTTTATTTGTCCCATTAAAAATAAGACTGAACAATTTATCAATCATTAAACTTAAATCTTCTTCAAAAACGTTTTTATTAATATTCTGAATTGTAGGTTCTATTTCTTTTATATCAATCTTGCAAAAATTTTGAGTAATTCGAAAAAATTTTGAATTATCAGCATCAATGTTACCCACATTTAGAGGATGATTATATTCTATTTGGTTAGGGTCATTTATTTCAGACATTGTGAAATGGAGAAAGTAAAATTTTTAATTTTGAATTTTCTGATTTGTAATAAATTGTTTTTTGCACAACATATTTTGTTTTACATATTTGTTTTTAACGTAGCACTACAGTCGGTCTACAGTAAATGTCATTAGTTACGGCGCAGATCTCCACCATGCATCATGAAATATTTAATGTCCTATGGCTTATCATTCTGAATAAAATTTATTTTATTGAACACAATATAAAAATGTATCTTACAATGATTTGTGATCTGAAATTTTTTTCTATTAACAATTCTATTCCTAACGAAAGAAATAAAATTTTTCATCTTTATTCATTTTATAGTACATTTCAAAATAACGGTGGCGATGATAGAATTGGGAAAAGAAATATTTGGTCTTCTTCAAGGAAACAAAATTTCTGCATATTTATTCTTTTCAAATAACACATCACAACGTACGCATTATTATTATAAATTATAAGTATCAAGATCTACGGAAATTTTTTTTTACTAGTATTGGCTCATAGAAAGTCTTATAAAGTCTATATTTAATAAAACTGTTAAAATATTTTTGTAATTAATAATAAATCTTTCGTTCCCCCTTTTTTCAGCTTTTATTAATTAAAGTTTGCGCATTTAAATGGTAGAATAGAGCCCTGCAAAACCCGGAAACCCGGGCCGGCAAATCTCGGGCCGGCAAATTTCTTTTTTCTTATAATCAGGCGATCTACATTATTTATACACCTTTTTAAAAGAAAATAATTTTAGCGAAGGCGAGGATGAAGAAAAGAAAAGAAGAAGGAAGGATTTAGGTATGGATTTTAGGAATGAAAATTTTGTATCTATTAATCGAAGTCACGTGATTTAACGTAAAAAATATATTCCGATAACAAATGAGTGATAGATACAATTAATTAGTTAAGAGTTAATAGGATTTGGATAAGGAACTAAATGTGGGGAAGTGTTCGACCTAAACACTAGTTCATAATTGTAGCACTAGATTAGTAAGAGCTTCCTTAAAAGTTTAGTTTCATAGGCTATTTTATATATTTCTCTGGTTAGGATTTTAGTTAGGTCCGAGTTTTTTTATGATTTTATTGTATTAGGATAGATCTCTCTGTTATAGATTTGTTTCGTGTTTACACGGAACGGGTCTAGGTATTTCCGATCGTGGATATTCTATCCTTAATAAAGAAATGCGTTACAGTTGCTTTTAAAAAAAAAAAATAAAATAATTTAATAAAAATAAAAATATATATAATTAGATTATAAAACTTTCTTTCTCAGATTATTTCTTTTCCTTTATTTACACCAATAAAACTAAGATTGGTTAATCCGTCAATTATAATACATAAATCTTCCTTAAATTTGGTTTCATTAATATCTTGAGTTTTAGGTTCTATTTCCTTTATATTTTAAATAATTTGAGAAAATTCCCCATGTAATGAATTTGCTTGGTATATTTATAATTGATTGCTATTTATTTGACATTTGGAGATAATTGTAATATTATTATCAGATATGTTCTACGTGAAAAGAAAGTTACATATGTACTGTACAGTACATATCTAATTACAGAAATGCCAAATTTAGAAGAGTTAAAACACAGCCATAATTAACCGGAATTTGATGTTCAAAAGGGTATAATATTATATAATGATTTCTTAATAGTCTATTAGTCTAAGGTTCGTTCCTTTAATTGTTCGACAGGAAAAAAGATATTGCTAACAATAACAATTGTAATGCCGAGACTTACCTAATGAATTTATTAATTGTGGGGCGCAGTATTATATTTAGAATTAGTATGTAAAATTCTTAGTGATTTAAAATTGTATAATGTTACAGAATTAACGACGTTAAATTAGAAAATATGGGGTTTACGTCCGAAATGACGTTACAGAGGTTTATTGAGGAAAGCTACATAAAATTTGGAAAAAGACAGAATTGTAATAATTTGAAAATGACAGAGGTTTTATCTCGAAAAGGATTGTTGTATTTATTTATATTACTAATAAATAGGGATGGCAACGGTCACGGTCATTAACCGGTTATGACCGGTCATGACCGTGACCGATATCGGTCGGTCAAAGACCTCTGACCGACCGTTTGACCGACCGGTCTGACCGACCGGTTAACCGACCGTTTGACCGACCGTTTAACCGATCCTGAAAACGTTTGCGAAACGTAATTTAATAAAAAAAATGTTTCGCAAACGTTTTTTTATTTATTTTAATAGAAAACGTTGCGAAAACGTTTTTTATTAAGTATTTCAATTAAATTACGTTTCGCAAACGTTTTCAGGATCGGTTAACCAGTCGGTCAAACGGTCGGTTAACCGGTCGGTCAGACCGGTCGGTCAAACGGTCGGTCGGTCGGTCAAAGGTTCTTGACCGGTTATGACCGACCGATGACCGACCATGACCGACCGTTGCCATCCCTACTAATAAAGTATTATTTTGATTAAATCTTTCAACGTGGCCAAAGTTACAAATTTAAACTCTGTTTAACGCTAGCGGAAAAAAATATTATATATTATAATTTTCATACTTTATAGAAGTTAAGATAAATTAATAAATTTACAACCTAAAAATATAACGCGTCTTTTTGGCATCTAGTTTATTTACGGTTTCAACAAATTACTTTCTTGAGCCGACTGAGCCTCATTGTTTCCGTTATATCTTAAATTCTTTAATTGAAATCTCGAGAATTTCAGCTTGTCTATTACTATTTGCATAGTTCTATACTAGGTTGGTTCAATTTGATAAATTGATATTCAGGCGTAATATCGGAAAAAATTATGCGTATATATCGTATATAATGCTGGTCGATATCTGAATAATGTGAAAAATATTTGGAATCACTTTATAAAATACGTGGCCTCTATTGCTTGCAACTTGAATTAAGAAAAAAAAAATTATAATTTATGATTATAATTATTAAATAAAACTTCGGCGAGCCGATCTTATCTTATTTTTATTTATCCGAATTTTTTTATTATAAAATCCACAGAAATAAATATTCCCATACACAGAGATATTAGGATTAATAAATAATATAATAAATTTAATTTATGAGATTCAAAAATTCGTTATTTCAAAAGTTCATTTAATTTGTTTTGAGCGTTTAAGTATCCTTGTTTAGCAGAAATTTTATACCAATAAATTGCTTTGCCCATATTTTTTTCAATTCCTTTTCCATATTCATATATTAAAGCAAGATTATATTGAGCTATAATATTCTCCAAATTTGCAGCTTTTTGGTATAATTCGAATGCTTTTTTATTATTAATATCAACTCCAATTCCTTTTTCATAGCAACATCCTAAATTATTCATACCTTCAACATTCCCTAAATCTGTAGCTTCTTGATATAATTCAAATGCCTTTAGCTCATTAACTTCAGTTCCAATTCCATTTTCATAACAACGCCCTAACCTATTTATTCCTATTGCATTTCCTAAATCTGCTGTTTTCTGAAATAATTCAAATGTCTTTTGTGCATCGACTTCAGTTCCGAACCCATACTCATAACAATAGGCTAACATATTTATTCCACATGGATATTTTCTTCCTGATAACCTTTCAGATAATTTAAAAGCTTCGTCATAATTTTTATCAATGTCCTTTCCAATCATATACATATATATAAGATAATATTGAGCTACAATATGATCTGATTCTATTGCCTTTTGATATAATTTAAATGCATTTTGTTTATTAGCGATAATACCTATTCCATGATAATTAAAATACCCAAGTAAGAAGATAGAATTAGAATTAATTTGATTATTTAGAAGCCAATAATAAATTTCTTGTAAATTTATCAAATGATCGTTAAGATAATCAAGAACAAACTTCTTTCTTGTATTTACTTCTCTACCGATATTTAGTACTTTAACATATTGATTAATCAATTCATCAACTATAATGCTTAAATCTTCTTCAAAAATATTTTCACTGATATCCTGAATTGTAGGTTCTATTTGCTTCATATTTATCTTATCGAATTTTTGAATGAATTGCGATAATTCTCCATATAATAAATTAAAATTAATATTTGTCTGAAACTCTTTATCTTCCCAATTAAAAGATCTATCATCGGCATACTCCATTACTAATAAATATTCATTCAATTGACAGTTATGACTTTCTAATTTTTTAAAGCAAAAATTATTAATTTTATTAATACACGAAATAATTACTGTAAATATCTATTTTTATTAACGTCATATTTTATACCTTTATTTGTAATTCCAAAAGAGAAAATAATATTGTTATGTACATTGAATTCAAGCTAAATTTTAAAATATAATGATATGTAAATGATTTAAAATTAAATAATTATGGATAAAATATATATATTTTATAATTACCTCTTGGATAATCTCCTTTACAAAAGTATTGTCGAGGTCAAATGATTTCAACACAAAATATTGTTTCAAATTTTTCCATTTGGCACGATAAACTTTTCCAGGATTATTGCCAATTTTTTCAATGTTTTGAAAATCTTTAAATTCGTAATATTTTATATATTTTTTGGAAATAGCTGCTTCAACCCAGTTATTTGTAATGTGCATGTTGGTAATATCATCAGACATTGTCGATAGATAATTACAACAACTTAAGTATTTATGTAACATGATTGCTTACTAATTATCGATCGGATGATTTTTGCATGTGTCGATCATTAAAAGTATTTTTTTTATTAATAAATGGTCCGACAGATTCATTATTTTTTTTTTTACTAATAATGGTCCGACAGATTCATTATTTTTTTTTACTAATGATGGTCCGACAGATTCATTGTTAAATTTTTATAGTTTAATGTGAGCAAACAAAAATCTATAGTAGAAACTTTTTATTTTTCGAGCCAAATTCTCCGAAACTTTCCGATATTGGCGAAACCCTCCGATATTATCAAATCATGATATAATATAACTGACCAATCAAATCGATGATGTCACGTGATTCTAATCCTGGCGTAACCTATATGAAAATTTTATATATTTTGTTAAAATTTATTTTATAGTTTCACTTATAAACTATTAAATATTTAAATGAGTGTTTTATTAATCAGTAAAATATATAGTAGATCTTGTACAAACTAATATCATTCTTTTAAAAGTTTGTTTAACTTATTCTGAGACTTTTGGTATCCTTGATCAAGAGATTTTTTGTACCAATAAATTGCTTTATCTTTATCTTCCTTAATACCATTTCCATATTCATACATTGTGGCAAGATTATATTGAGCTACATTATAACCTATATATGCAGCTTTTTTATATAATTCAAATGCTTTTTGTTGATTGATATTAGTTCCAATTCCAATACTATAACAATATCCTAACATATTCATTCCACCCGAATATTCACCATCTGCAGATTTTTTAGATAATTCAAAAACTTTATTGTAATTAATTTCAACACCTTCACCATCTCTATACATTAAAGCAAGATTACATTGAGCTCTAAGATTACCTAAATTTGCTGCCATTTTATATAATTCAAATGCCTTATGTATATCAACATTAGTTCCGATTTCACAATAATAACAATAACCTAATGAATTTATTCCACATGGATATTTTCTTTCTGTTAATTTTTTAGATAATTCAAAAGATTTTTCATAATTTTTATCAACACCTTCTCCATCCATATACATAATAGTAAGATAATATTGAGCTACAACATTTTCTAACTCTCCTGCCTTTTTATATAATTCAAATGCTTTTTTCTTATTAATATTAGTTTCAATCCCATGATAATTAAAATATCCGAGTAAATAAATAGAATTTGAATTATTTTGATTATTTAAAAGCCAATTGTAGATTTCTTGTAAATTTATCTTGTAATTTTTAAAATAATTGAGAACAAGTTGTTTTCTAACATTTGTTTCTTTTCCAATATTTAGCTCCTTAAGATAAAGTTCAATTAATTCATCAATCATAACGCTTAAATCTTCTTCAAAAACATTTTCATTAATATTTTGAATTATGTAAGGTTCCATTTCTTTTATAATTATTTTATTGAAATTATGAATAAAATTTTCATATAATGAATTATCATTAATAGGTGATATGTGATGGTCTTCCGTTAGGGTAATAATTTCTTCTAATTTAACAACTACTTGATTCATATCTGGTCTATTATCTGGGTCATAATTCCAACACTCTATATAAAAAAATGTAAATAAAATGAGTTCTCAAATTAATAACAAAATAAAAATGAAATTAAAAATATAATTACCAGTATAAATATTAGAATAATCAACAGGAGTATTAGGGACAATTATTTCTCTATAACCATGTATAATTCGTGTTGCTAAAGTAACATCATAAAATTCATCTTTAAATGGTGGTCGACCACTTGAAATCTCCCATAAAAGCACTCCAATACTGTAAACATCACTCTTTTTGTTTAAAGAGTATGATTGTTTTAAATTGATACTATCAACGAACTTTTTAGGATCAACGTAAGGAATATTAACAAATAAGTCTGATTCTCTTTGTCCAGATACTTTTTTGATTCCTTTTGATAGTCCAAAATCAGCCAATTTAATAGTATGCCGATGAATCAATATATTATCAGAATGCTATAAATTAAATATAGACAAATAAGTAATATAATAAATATTTATATATATAAAATAAATTAAATAAATTACCAAATTACGATTTACAATTTCTTCATTGTGTAAGTATGATACAGCACATACTAATTGGTATGCTAATTTGCATTTGTCTCCCCACGTAAGAATCTTAAAATTTTCTTTCAAATAATTTTGAAGAGAATTATTATCAGCATGCTCCATAAATAAAAAATATCTTTCCAACTGACTATTTTGATTTTCTAATTTTAAAAATAATTAATTTTATTAATTTAAAGCAATGACCATAAATACCCTTCTCTTTCTTTTAGAATTACCTTCGCTTGTAATTCCAAAAAAGCGGATGATGTTCTCAGAATTGACTTTACAATGAAATTCAAGCTAAATTAAAAATGTAAACAGATATGTAAACATTAAATAATATAAATAAAAATAATATATCATTTATTATTATATTTTTAATTACCTCATTAATGATTTCTTTTATAGTGATATTGTTAATATTAACCAATTTTAACACAAAATATTTTTGATAAACTTTTCTGAGAGGAGTTCCAGTTCCAATTTTTTTAATATTGTGAAAATCTTTATATTCATGATATTTTATATAATTTTTAGAAATAAATTCTTCAAACCATTCATTCGAATTCTTAACAACTTGCATTTTAGTCTTATCAAATATTATAATAATAAATAAAGTGGAAAAAAGGAATTTAAGCTTTTTTATGTATGTACGATGTATTACTACCATAATACATCATACAAGCATATTGTCGATCATTTTCATGATTGAATAGTAAAAATAGAAGTACCCCAGTCATGGCAAAAAAAAAGTTGCAGTCACGTGACATTTGGCCCGCATTACGGAGTTATGCACTAACATGTGAAAATAAACAGTGACGAATAAGGGTGTGACGAATAAGTTTTTACTTACTTGAAAAAAACTAAGTCTCTCAGATAAATATAAAAAGTGGAAATGCGGTAGGGTGTGACGGTTGTGATGAAAAAAGTGCAGTCACGTGACTGCAACTTTTTTTTTGCCATGACTGGGGTTCTGTAAAAATAGCAAATTACGTCATACTTACATTTTCAAGCACTCCCTGCATCGTGCATGAATAGAAACGGGAGCTGAAGATAAAATTTGTGATTTAATACAATTCTTTCCAAATTAATTAATATAAATTATACTAAAAAAAAAATTTTCTAATTGATGCTTATAAAATAATACCAATTGCATGAAATAAATTTCCTTAAAAATTGTAATACCCTATTATGATCGGTAATAGCAGATTAGCCGCCGTGCAGTAGGTAATATTAAAGTATTTGATGATCTCTTTTGTAGATTCATGCAGCCGTCTAGACCATTAGAACAAAAAAAAAAATAAGCTTTGGATTGGATATTCCCGGATGTGTATGGTTAAATCACACAGTAGAAAATAAAAATTAAATTGTAATTTAATCAATTTAATCGCTTTATTTTAGTGGAGTGAAAATATATACAGCGTCAGAATTTCATCAGAAACTATGGTTTTCAAATGCTGAAATAATTATGGATGTAGATTATCAAGGAAATTATGAAGACACATATTGGGATAAAGTTTTATATTTAGTAAAACTTTTAAATCTTGAATTTACCTTAATACAATGGTATGATTACTTTGAATTATGCCTGGAAACTCAAAAGTTGGATGTCCATACTTAAAATTAGAAAACCATTGTGATTTAATTCCTATTAGTTCCATATCAAATGTAGGTATTTGTAATGATTTATTGAAAAGTAATTATGATTTTATTAATAATAAGTCAATAAAATAATTTTTAATAAGTTATTATCATATTTACTAAATTAATATTTTTCCAATACTTAAAAAATCACAATACAATTACTAATTATATTTAAATATATTTGATATTTAAATAAAATCTTAACACTAATTTAGTAATAAACAAATTAATAAACTAGTTCAATATTGATTTTATATGTATATAATTATGAGTCGATGCAAAAAAAATTAAGGCAAAAAACGAGACAAAAAAGTTAATGATGCTTGAGAGAGAAAAAGAATTATACAGCAAAATATGTGCTGCTAGTGGTATCAAAGACGAAGCAAGTGGCAAAATCACTAGGCTGACGAAGAACGACGAATTTTCTAGTAGCTTGGCAACATTACTAACAAGAGACAAAGAAATGGTGGCGGTAATGCTGAAAGTTTCAACTAATGGCTGTAATATTTACATGGCTAAAAACGATAAATGGTTCGAAAATGATTTCACATATATTGACAGAATCAAAAATTACCTAAAAAAATACCTGAAACTGCTCCCATATCATTGGAAGTGGCAGCCTTTATCAAGCGAAGTAATGACGTGCTTTACTGTTAAGCTTGAATCTAGATTTGATAAACTCAAGGATGATATAAAACATGGTCGACACAAACAGCATATTAAATCATTGTATATTATGCTTTAATTGACATTAAGAATATGGATAAAATTAATATTTACGATTTATCAATAACTTGTTTCGAATATTATAAAAATCAAAGAGAGCAATACAAAGATCTTGAAAATCCTGCAACTCCGTAGTATTTGAAAAAATTTCTAGGATATGTAACAAAATTATAAGTTGTGCATGTAATGCAAAATATAAATTCTATTTTCTCATATGGAAGTGCATTTATTGGAGCCTACTATGACCGAGTAGTCCATAATTTCCTGGGAAGATGTTATCAAAAATTTATTACTGATCATAAAGAGTATGAAAATTTCAGGGAAGCATGTTTGAATAGTAATAATAAGAAGGATTCTCTAAGACGTGTATACGGCAAAAGTATACAGCTGGAAAGTGCAGACCTTAAACAAACTGTAAAATTACATGCAGAAATGAACATAATGACCAACGAACTAATAAATAAGGAAGATAAAAGTAGAGCATTTATAGCTGTATCCAAAAAGTGATGTTATTTATACGAATTGTATACCAGGTTTGCACGAACCAAGGGATATGTTATTGATACTTTTGGAACACAGAAAATTATATCTTTATGGAAATTTCCAGACGCAAATAATGCTATTTTCTATGATGAATCTCTATCATATATGATAAAAAATCTCAATCGGAAGGGATAAAACGAATAATTATACTGAAGGAATGGCGTCATCTCATAATCTGATAGTGAAGCAGGAAGTATGGATTCTAGTAGTCATACTGTTAACCAAATACTTAGATCTCCAAACCGATTAATATGTAAAATTTAAATCTAATTTTATAATATATTAATAAAATTGCAAATTTCTTCATATAAAAAATTCAAAGCAAGTTCTTTATTTTTATAAATGAATCATCTAAATAAATAAAATAAAAAACGTCGAAATAGCGCCCTGTCCACTGCGGATGTTACATATGAAGTTTTGTCTGATGTCATGTGGTAAATGTTCACAACTCGAAAAAATACCAATAAATTTTAGGTTATAAAAAACCATGACATTTTGTCACGATGTGCTAAAAAATTTTTTATGCAAAAAAAATAAAAATGAGTTGGAGACTTTGTTGTTCGTGATACATGATGAAGTTACTATTCTTCCAGATTACTCAATGACTTTATCCCTCTCATTCCCCTCGATAAATAATACGGCCGAGGGCCTTCCATCTTCTCTTTCATATCCTCATCTTTTATACTGTATAAGAGTTTCGACAACTTAAACAATGGTTTCTTTCACAATGCATCCCATGAAATACCACTTTTCCGCATCTGTTACTTTATCTTGATCGTGACATTTGGTCACAACCTAAAAAAGTCACGTGTCCGTTCACACTCCCAACCCACACACCCACACCCACCCGCACTCCCAACCCGCATCCAACCCACACTCCCACACCCACCCGCACTCCCAACCCATCTAATTTGGAACGCAGATTTCTTTTGCCAAGAAAATTTTTATTAATACATGAGGAATAGGAATTAGTGGATGTGATGATGCAGGTGAATTCTCTGGACCGATTCCAAAAAAATCATCTAAAGAACTAGAGACTTGGGTTAAAGGAATAGCGGTTGATATGCTTACTAAGAAATCGTCATCCTGATCTTCGGGTAATGGATTCTTGGAGAAATGATCGATCATAATAGTTTGAACTGGCTATCAGATAATTCCGATATACTTGATTTTATCAATTCCTATTTTTTCGAAAAACCCATAAATCTTTCTGGCTCTTTGAATTTGTTTGCGTAATGCTTCTCGTTTATTATCAGGAGGAAGGAGTCTAATAAGATTGTCATAAATCATACCTTTTGCTTTTTTCTCGCAAACTTTATATTCGAACGTAAACTCTATTGTCTTTTATATCGAATTCTACAATATAGGAACGTCAACACAAAAATTCTTTTTGATTAGCTTGAATGGCTTCAGCTTTCGCATCCATGCTTCTTGGATTAAGAAGGCTAGATTTTGTAATATATTTGGGGATTATCTGTATCAGAATTTTCGTGAAGGGCCGTCACGGAAATTTCAGCCATATGATTTTCTCAGGTACCGAAATAGCCGTGATACAATATTTTCCGCTTCCCTCTTCTTATGTGATTGAGATTTTGTCCTGAGTTACAGAAGATAAGTCCTGGGTAGCTAATTCACGCAATAATTTCTTTTCTCTATTCCTCTGCCTAATCTCATCGCTAACCCTTTTCTTATACACCTCATCTAAGAAAGTGTCCGTCACCCTTTCTCCATTGACTTGATCTAGATGTTCCATTTATGGGCTGGTCTATTACGGGATCAGATATATAATGCGAAGCATCTGGCTGTGGTACAGCTGTTTTCTCTTTTCCGACCGAGCGTGAGTTATTAACGTGCTGGGGTTGCTGAGTGAGGTTGGAGGAATCGAAATCATGTCTTAATTTGACTAATTCAACTTTAAGCTCAGAATTCTCGGCTGAAATATCTGCACTATTTTTCTCCAATTCCTCGATTCTGACCTTGTGCTCGGCATTCTCGGCATCACGCCTGGCATTCTCCTCAATAATCCGTCTCAATTTCGCATTTCGTTCTTAAGCTCAGCATTCCCACCCTTAAGCTCGTTTTTTTCAGTTTCAAGCGAGGCATTATCATCCTTAATCTCGAGATACTCAGATTCAAGATCATCATATTCCTCCTTAATCTTAGCGTTCTCAGCCTCAAGGTCGGCAATGCGTTGTTCCAATAATTCAAGCTTTGACGATATGACCGATAATATTTTATAGAAGATATAAAATATTCAAAAGTTCGTTAGTATATATACATACTGCTAAGAAACTCGTTGAATGACAAAATGTCACGGTCGGAATTATTCGGTAATACATAAACTTGTCTTACAAAGTGAAATGGCGTTTCTATACTAATGTCTGCAGACCACACCAATTTTTCGCTTGCCTAATACACATTATCCCATTCCATGGTCCCGGTTTCATTGTCCTAATTATCGATATTCTGGATAAAATAAAAACGGTATGTATGAGATATGCAGTGTCGGAATGTAATAGTAACATTAACCTTACGCCGAAATTTTATGTTGTTTACAATTTGTGATTCTAATATAAAGCCCTCAGAAATCTATACGAGAAAATATCATTAGTTTGCAAGTCCTGGAATCGTTTCCTTGCCACAACTGAAAAAGGTGTAACCTTAATTGTCTCGTCCGGACATCAATAATTTTTCGCTTCTTTAGTTCATCGGAGAATCAAAATCTTATGAGTAATGATAAAACCGTATTAATCATTTTTTTCGTGTACTGATAAACTACTTTTTTTACTATGCTTATTAATATTTGTCAAAGTATCTATTATTTGCTGTATTGCGTCACTACAAGCTATCAAAAGTTTAGAGGAAAGGTTGAGTTTAGGATTTATATATGCTTTTATGAATACATCGTGACATAGACTCTGACATAAACTATCCTCAATTTATCATTCGCAGAATTATCCCCAAAATGTCGTTTTAATTAAATTGTTTACTTCTGGGCGAAACTTCCTTTGAAAGAATTTTCCAGGTTACCGTTCCTGAATATATTACCCCTGATGATAACAACGTCCCCATTCGCGATGCCCAAGTTGGACAATTTAAAAGTCATATCTTGTCTAAGTAAAAAAGCTAAATTTGGTATTGATGATCCTGATGTTATGAACCTTTATAAGGTTGAAATTAATACCGATGATGAAGGCAAGGTTAAAGATGTAGAGGATATTGAACGAAAACGTGATGAACTTAAAGCCAAATTTATGAATCCAGCGGATGTGTTTATAAGTGATTATTTTCCAGATAAACCTCCAATTAAACACGTTCATATCATCATCGCAGTCCTACTTCCTAAGCGTCTCCCAATGGTTTACCTCTTGAACAAGGAATTTACAGTCGAAACAATGATACATATTTTCATCATCACATTCGTTAATATGTTTCTTACTCTCCATTAGAGCTCAAGAGAAAAAGACCTATCACGAACGAAGAAATTAAGATGAAAACTTGTTTCTGTAATTAGCTATATTTCATTATATTATTCTTATGGATTTTTCTTTACAGCTACAGGAGAAAATAAAAGAAAATGGACGGCTAATAGTACCATTCGAAATCAAATTCGTAATTATGTATATTTTGTTGATCTAGAGGAGACGAATGCTCCGCTTCTTGATATGATTCTGAGAGGAGAATTTGTGGCTTTATTGGCTTCATCTTAACATAATAAAGATTAATATGATTAATATGTAGATCAACCCATAATATAGTAGTATTAGCGCTCAACCTAGAACAGTCATATCGAGCGCGTATAGATCAATAATGATCCGTTCAGAGTGTTGCACAAAATAATATTAAAACGAAAGTAAAAGGTGGCCAACATCGAACACGATAGTTCATCAACAACCTGACCTAGAACAGCTTCCTCATTCCCCATAATCATGCTCAAGCATTTGGTGTTCTCTTCTCTTATCAGCTGTCCAGTTTTCTTCCTTTTGACGAAAGCGAAAAAAGTTCAAAAGCGTCCAATCCAAATTATCTGAAAAAAAGTTCGTTTTCATTTCAAACACAAAAGTGGTTGAGAGTTTGAAAATAAAAATTAGAGTAAAAATTTGGAGCAAGGATATATATATATATACCCTTTACTATGACGTAATAGAAGTGATGATCATTGGAGATCAAATCCGAATAAAAATCTTTGATGTACAAGTGTTCGTTATGTACTACATATTCCAAGAAATTTGTTGGTTAACTCGTTATAATAAGTGTGTATCAGTTTTTTATTGCCAGGCATAGTCTTAACCACAGTCTTATCTAGAGCTTCCGTTTGAAATTAGAATATTCGAATATGATTCGAATAGATTCGAATATTCCATGTAGATTCGAATGTAAATTGATCAGGAAATTTATTGCAAATAAATGTAACACAGTTTATACGACTAACACCTTTTTCATTTTAATTTTTTAATTAATTTATTTAGATATTTCCGTTAAATGATTAATTTGTTTTTTTAAAAAAAGAATAATAGATATTTTTATCACATGATCCGGTTGAGATTCGAATCATTTTACATTTCAAAAATTTATTTATTTATTTATGACTTTATATAGGTAGAAATTACAGTCATGTGATTTTTTTCTCTGTAATATTTCACTGCGCCGATAAGACATGTGCTGGCAATCACTGGCGCAGAAAGGATCAAGAATGGTAATATATCCGCTTTGACTTTGTACATCTGTAAAGCAAGAAAAATTGATTAACATCGTGATAACATTTATCTAGAACCAAACCAAAGTGTTACTGACCTTTCTTTATTCTTTTGAAGAATATACTCGTTCGTTTGATAATTTTCGATGATGTAAATTATGGTAAGTTTGAATTTTTCGCTTAATTTTTCGCTTTTTTCACTTGCACAAGGCGGATAAAAGGGTTCATTTAACCGGGTCATCACCTTTTTATATAATTTGCAGAATCGATTTTGGAATACGCTTCGGGGAAATTACGTTAATATGATTGCATCCCGACAATCAGGTCATTAAATTTATTCTTAGTTTCGAAATTTCTTAAATTCAGAAGTTCTCTTATGTGAAATAACCCTTTCTCATAGTCTGTGCGAGTGGGAGTAATATAGATAGGTGTGGGATAATTTATTTAGGAAATCTATTGTAATAAAAGAGTGTGGAGATAAGAATTTTGTAACTAGCAATAGGGATAGGAAAAAATCAATTGGTATACAAATTTATAAGAAATCTGAGAGAGTAAAGAATTAAATGGCGCGTACTCCCTCCCTCTTTGATAGCATCATATATTATTTCAATCTCTATCTCTGGTTAGTTATTTATCTGATAAATCAATAAAATTTGGCCAGTTCGGGCATTTGCATCGAAAATTTAATGCTTATATTAATTGCCATTCTTTTAAGTTTCCAGATAAAAGCACGATAGCAATAGAGGCGTAAATGGAATCTAGCACATTTTTTATCATATGCATGTGACCTGATCGCAAAATTGATCATCTGATCGACGAGTATCATGATTACATAAGTACATGATTCAATCTGTGTGACTCAATTTTTCGTATAAATAATCCATTCAAAAAAATTATATCCCGTTTTCGATTCACGGTTAAGTATTCGTTAATATTGATATTAGTATCTGTTTTCACGTACACGCGCCTCTTTTGTTGCATGGGAACCACCAAACCTGTCTGTAAGTTCAACACGAAGGGCGGTATTCCTGGTTAGAAAGAAAGGATGCTGATACTAATGCCCCAGGGTTTACTTGCAAATCTTCCGTGTTCAACACACGTGTAAGAGGAGAGGTTTGCCGAAAGAGCCTATTTCTGGGAGTGTCGGTCTGTGTCTCAAGAGATTATACTCTTCTCCCTGATCATTCAACACGAAAGGGTGGGAAAGGGTGAATATGTTAATGATTGCTTGCGAACTTCATGTGCTCAACCGCGTGTTTGTGACTGAATAACCTGAACTTGGATGGGGGCTGCAAAAGAGTATTTTTTGTGGGACTGTTGTTACTGTTTGTTAATCAATTTACTCTTTCTAAAGAACAAATAGACAAAATTCAAATTCAGATTGGACACAGACCTTTGCATGCCTCACTCTAATATCAACCAGTTTTTCGCTAAGACATGCTTGTCAAAGTGGAATAATGTCAGCATTTTTGTAAAATTCATATACAACGAAAGTCATTCGACAACACCAAAACAAGTGTTAGATATGTATAATCGGAATCGTTTTGACATCATTTCAGCCAAAGACACTAAAAATAATGTCATGCAATATGTCCGTGATATCATTGTAAAAATAGAAGTATGTTTCTATTATTCATTATGTTTGCTCATAGTTCCTTCCATTAATCCAATCAATTTGGCTAATTTACTTTCAAATGATTTTATCAGCAAGCGAAATGTTCGAAAATCATCGGGATACGTTATTAAATGTAAGAAGATCAGGGCAAAAGTAAGTATGAAAGTTATTGCATCATTGAGCTATGGATGAAGTATTCTTAATTTCTTTATTTAGCAAAGGTAATTTTAACGAATAAAACGCGAGAAGATTTTCAAACCGCAAAAACAAATGATTGAATGAACCAGAAATCCCTAGTTTGTGATATTGATTTCATTCTTTCATAGGATTGGAATAATGAGGTTGATAATTTCTTCCAAGCAACAGAAATCACAGGCTGACAGGCAACAAAACAAACAAGGAGGATGAGGTATGGACTTCACGTTAGTATGGATTGTTTTAGTTGTCACGATGTTCATATGATGATTGATCTCGATACACGGGTAAATTATATCTGGTAGGTGTTGTTCGCTGTAAATGTTTACTATTCTCTCTTGAAGGAGGCAATTGATAGTCAAGGCCAAGAAGAGGTGAAGGATGCGACCAGTGGTGAAGAGGCGAAGAAAGTGACCAAAGTGTCGAAGGAAAACAAAGTAAATCTTCATTGGTTATTTTTAAACATTTTTTTTACGAATAACAAAATTTATGCTTTTCCTGTCTAGGTAGGACCATTTAGACTAAGCAAGTAAAATCGAGAGGAAATTGGTACAGCCTTGAAGTCAATGGATGTGGAAACTTTCGACTGGAAGATTCGTCGAAAAAGAAACAAGAACTGGATTTCGAGTAGTTAGTATTAATGCATGAGAACATGTTCTTGTAGGAATAAGTTTATTAAACTGTGGTCTTATTCCTTTTTCTTAGTGCTATAATCCAAAATCGTTGTTTTTAACACGGATCCGCTATCCATTCGTTTATTATAGACGTCGACGATGAATTAACTTCATCGCATTTCAGTGACACAGAACTTGACGAAATTATTTGCCGCCGGCCCTCACGTACCTGATCTCCCAGATCAAATCGCTGAATTTTTATACGAATTCGTTGGCAAGGTAATAATTCATTTACATGTTAATGACACAGGTGTATTGAAACAAAATCACCAATCCCTTTTCCTATCGTAGACTAACTTGAATGAGATTCGTGAGACCAAAAAGTCAAAGGTGTTTGGTAACAATTATGATCATGAAAACCACCACGATAAGGATTATATAATCTATGCACTTCATTCATTGTAAGTATTTTTGTCCTTTGAAATAATAAATAAATTTAGTCGGTCACGATGCATCTAAAGAGCTTTAATAAATTATTCACAGAGTTCGAGAAATTCAAGGTGGGAGCATGTAAGACACAAAACTGGAAGCTTGGTTCAATTGTCACATTTGGAACGTAATCTTTGACCAAGCTTTCGGAGGTATTAATGTGATATCCGTCGTCAGGTAACTTTTAAAAACTATATGTTGTTTACTTTGATGAATCTGAAAATGTTTGGCGAGAGTACAAGTTTGGCAACAGCTTCTCGAAAAAATATGAAAAGAAGGTCTGGAGAGAGGCGAAAAATGGGTCGCATGGGACAGCCGGGCGCCGAAAGAGACCTCGAGACATAAAAGGCAAAGAATGAATGTGCTGAAGTGAATGATGAACGACCATATCCAGCATCACCATGCACCGGATCACTTAGTTCTGAGCCATTGATTTAAGTATTTATCGAATGGGAATTAGTTTAGTTTAATACCAATATCAAGAGAAAAATCATTATGTTATTTACAATTAGTGTTGTTGTCAATGAAGAATGATAATAGTGCAATAATTAATAAATTAATGTGTTAATTTCCAGCTTTTTTATATATATATACAATATGGTATATGCTCACGCGCACGTGATTTTATTTGACTATAAAGTGATACAAAATTTACTTTATTGATGCATTATTAAGGTAAAATATCGATTTATGCGTTGTCCGAATATACTGTGTAACATTTTAAAGTATCAGCAGCTAATAATATCTATAAGTGTATTTTTGCGTGCAAAGTTTTTTTTGCGCAAAACTATATCTAATAAAATGTTCCATTCCGACTATAAATACATGATTTCCAGGAAGTCTGATCGAATTAAGTCGTATCTAAGGCATAAATTAGGAATTCATTAAATAGACGCAACAAATTTAATATGAATAATAAAAAATTATTGCGCTCCCAAATGTATTTCATTCCAATTATTTCCAGTTTGCATATGTTATAGATAATGGAACCCAAACCGATAATATTACTTGTGATCATGAGAACGAAAACAATTTTCAAGTTATGAATGAACTTAGAGTATTAACCCAGCATCTGCTCGATGCGAAATGTGATATCTTCTGATACTCCGATTTACGTTAAAAATAAATTAAAAAAAAATTGATCCGTGTAACATGAAAAATCTGTTCATAATAAAATATTATTAATTAGTCTGTGTGAGAAAAGTACGTAATGAACAAATATTATTTGGTAACGTTCAAAGATGGTTATTATTAAAAATGGTTGGATCTTGGATAAATTTTCAAAAAGCAAGAATCCTCACTTAAATGTTAATTGTAATTGATAAAATGACGATTATTATTTTTTTGAATAAAAATGTACTTTATAGCATACTATATGATCTTGTAAAAAAATAAAATATATTAATTATTGATATAATTATATTAAGAAATAATGTTTTGTTATGTTTATATACTACGTTATAAATCTCATTTTTCTTTGCAAGAATTTATTTGTCCATGTTAAGTTTTTCTAAAAGAGCTTTCTTGAGTTCTGTAAATTCATTAGAATCCCATTCGCCATTATCCATCATTTCTTTAACTTTCTCACGAGTCTTATCAACATTGGCATAATAATATCTTAAAATAAATTAATTATATTATATTATCAGTAAAAACTTGAGATGATTTAAGAAATAACATAAATAAATAAAATTTACATACATTATTTCAGGAAACCATTTTCCCCAACGTCTTTGATGTGGTAATAGATAGAATAACTCAATTTCAGCAAGAATCTAATAAGAAATTAAAAAAAATTTAATTAAAAAAACTTTTACAACAGTACTTTCAGTTATGTTAAATAATGACAACATATACCTCTGCCTTCTTTTTAAATATGAAACTCTATTATTATCTTTTTCAATTGCCATATTGAGTAATCCAATAAACAAATTCATAAGATATACAACAATCAGTAATGAGAATAAAACGATCAATATTGCAATTGGCGCATTATCAGTATATGTCCAATTAGTTAACGCACTTGAATCGCCTAGCAATTAATTAAAAAATTTTAAGTACAATTAAACATCAAAAAAAAAATAAATAAATAAATAAATTTTTTTACACACCTGTTAAGAATAAATACATTGCAAAAAGGGATGATCTAAAATCTACAAACATATTTGTATTTCCATTAGGTTGTTGAATTATATATGGGGTTTTACCAATAGATCCATTTTCAAGTACTAGATTATAGGAATTGGCTATATTCCAAGGATTATTAGGATCATTATTATTTGTACGATCATCAAATGAAAATTTTGCTCTTGGTAATAGTAAAATATAAAATGCATGAGCGAAACTAATTATAATAATAAATAAGACCACCAAAAAAGAGATAATCTGTTTTGCAACACTAATGATTATTGCAAAATATACACCAAAATATTCAAATGCTCTAAAAAATAATAAAAATTTTATATCTAAAAATAAACATGAAAATGAAAGTAATGGGATTATATCCATTGGAATTACACTCAATTCATTGGTTTGAAGCCAAATAATAGAAGTGTAAATTGGAAGCACGAATGCAATTACATCTATAATATTCAAATGATGTAATTAATTAATTTTCTACTATTTTTAAAATTAAATATTTTAAATATTTTAAAATTAATTATTATATTTACCAAATATGTTCCAAAAATCACGGATCCATTTAATAGGATTATAAATAATCTGACGAACTTCAAAACTCAAATGAATAAATCCAAGTATAATTGTAGCATTTAAAAGTTGATTTCGAATATTTTCATCCATATCAGCTATTGTTGCTGCAACGTTAAAGCATCCAAGTAAAGCTAAAAATACAATTAAAATGATTGCATAATAATATTTTCCATAATTATTCCATTTAAAATTAATTAACACTTCTCCATTCCAAGTTCTATAAATATCTCTATTTATTGTTTCAGCAAATGGACTAGGTTGAGGCCAAATTAACTCTAAAAACCAATTATAATCTTTCGGGTAGTTAACAAATTTAATATAAGGATTCATGAAAATAATTGTGGGTGTTTTTTGTTTTTTTGGTATTACTTTTAAAAAAAGATCATTCACGAAAAAATATAGATTAGGAAATCCAAATTTCTTGTACCAATCATTAATAATATGAAATCTTAATAATATATAACATATAACGTAATAAATTGGCAAAAAGGGTAAAAAGAATAAATTTGAAAGGTGAAAACGTTTTATTTTGAAGTAATTTTCCTTATTATTAACTTCATCATTTTTCTTTAATGCACAATAATTTAACCACCAAATAGATTGAGATATATCAATTGTGTGAAAATAACGTCGAAAAGGATAAAGATGTAAATTGATATCTTGATGTTCTATATAATAAAAAGGTGAATCAGTTATCATTGTTGTTTCCAATGAATATCTTGAAATATATTCCGGATAATATTCATTTAATAATGGCATTGTAGAAGTAATGATACTTAAAAACATCACATTGCTTCCTAAATCTTCCTTAAAATAGTATAAGCATTTTTTAAATATATCATCTATTAATTCTAAGTTATGTTCTTTAATTGCAAATGTTAATAATTCAACGCCATATTTAAAAAGAATTTCCTTATTATTTTTTATATATGTAACCCATCCATTACAAAATTTGAAACTATTATAATTTGGTAAAGGTAAAGTAGGTTCGGAAAATACTTTGGGTTCGATGCGGAATTTTTTAATATAATAATAGTATATTAAAGAAATGGATTGACTATCTTCATCAAAATGATAAATAAAAAGACCCATCTCCGTTAATATAATGATATCACTATGATTAAATATCTTAATAGAACCTTGGACTTCATTCGTATTATACAATTGTTTTATAATTTCGACTCTTGAGCAAACGTGATACCATTCATTATTGTTATTTTTTTTGAAAACTTGCAGTTCCATTTGTTTAACAATTCGATTATTATTATCAGTGAAATAGCCGCTGTCATAATTCCATCTAATTAGATTTTTAAACTCTTTTTCACCATAAAATTCACTCCGAGAATCTTGGAATAATTCATTTATAGTTTTCTTGTATGGATTAAGTGAAAGGATAATTAAGTGATTATACGTTTCTTTTTTGTACTTAAAACGATTACCAGAGTATTCATACCAATTTTCACAAATTTCATCAAAATTACTGATATCAGAGCTTTTAAATAATGAATCTATATTTGTTTCCACTTTTTCCAGATCAATCTTCCAAACTTCCCCATCTAGAATTCCAAATGCGTATTTTCTTTTTAGGACTCGGATATTATTTGGAAGATATTCTTTTGATAATTGATCATAATGTTTTAAATTTCTTAAGCTATTACTATCTTTCATGATGACATCCCAAAATCCATTATTTGGCATATTACTAAATAAAGGAAATAATAAAGGAAATAATAAAGGAAATAATATTGGATGCGAAACAACAATGAATTTCATAAAAGTATGTAGTTGATTAACTAAATAACAAATAAAAAAAATAATATTAATATTATATTAAAATTAATAACAGTATATTAAATTTTAAAAGAATACAATACCGTACCATTATTTATATCTAAAGAAGCAATATGAATTTTCAAATAAATTGAATAAATAATAATTTTATTCTTGATCCTTATACAAATAAATTTCTCATTACTGGAAATCCTAAGATCTTTTTCAAACTTTTAAAATAGAAATAAAAAATTAATTTTAATTTATAAAATATCATATTTTCAAATAGTTTCAGAAATTTATATATTACCTTTATATTATCATCAAATGACGTCATCATTTCGCTACTACCAACTATTTTTATTTTTTTTTCAGTAGCAAGATCAAATTCATAAACGTTATTATTTGATAATGAAGATGATAAATAGAGTTTATCATATTTTTGTATGCTCATAACATTTCCTGATGTCCAATACATTCTTTTACACTTATATATTAATTTGTTATTTTTAGTTTGTAAGGAATAAATACAAATAACATATTCAAAATGTTCCCAACTCTCATCATCAATACAATTATATAAAATAAGTTCATTATTTAAGTTAAAAACACAATATAAAATCTCAATATCGTTGTGATTGTTAAAATCTAATAAATCTATACTGATTTGATCTTCACTTATCAGATCGTATGATTCTAATAAAATACAATTGAATAAATATTATAAAAATTTATAAGGGTAAACGTAATAGTTATTACTCACCAAAATTACTCAATCCATCATCTGTTATATACGCAAGTTTCTTATCATCAGAAACACATATTAGATGATTGGATGAATTAACATCGACATCAACGTCATCGACACGAGATTCAGGTTTAAGTTGACCGTTTGTAATTTCCCAACCAACGATTGAACGATCTTCCTGACTATAAGTAACGAGGTATTTTTCATTTGGTGATACTTCTATCTCTGTAATAGGTAGACCGTTATGTGCTTTATCACTATCAATTTTATCTTTATTAGTTAAGTCGACTTTATCGAAATCAGTTTCACTATCGATTTTTACGGAAAATTCATCCATTTCACTTAATTGAAAAAATTTTTTTTTTTTTTTGATAAGCGTTTATTAAACCTAATAGTTAACGTTTTTTAAAGCATTCGTCTGTTACACTTTATAATTAATCGGGAAATGAACATCATTATCTTGTGTATCATGCATTAATAATTTGTTGCATTATATTTGTTGTATCAGGGGAAAAAATGCAACTTCGCGTTATAATAAAATATTGATATTTATATTACCAATAAAAGATTCTTATACCCCAAATAAATATAAAATTTAGTTCATTATTATTAGTAATTAATTATTTCGGAGTTAACAGTGTCAATCTATTAAATGATCATCGATTTAAAAAAGGATATACATTCCCTTAACGAGAAGATGCTAGCTATTTTAGAAACAATATTTACAATTGAATTCTGAATTTGAAAAAAACAAAAAATCACTTTTACCTCTTTTAAGAATTGATAATTCTACTAATGATCATCGATCTAAAATATGCCCTTAACAAGGAGGTGCTATTTTTAGAAATATTATTTAACAATTAAATGAATTCTGAAACTGAATAACAAAAAAATCTCTAAATACCTCTTTTAAGAATTGAAATTTCCTTTTTTTGTTAACATTATTATGTAATTCCAGTCTTGAAGAAAGATAATGCGCTAATTCTTACCTAGCTTATTTTTAATCATTTTTATCATAAAGAAAATTCTTGTAATCTTGTAACATGTAGCTAACCGTATTTTTAAATATTTTATTACATACTTATTAATGAAATTGTTTTGAGCGTTTCGCCAATTTTAATTCGGCCATTTCGAAACTGTCCGAACTTGGCGAAATTTCCGAAACTCCGAAACTTGGCAAAATTGTTACGTTCATAATTTTTTAATTGATGGCTAAATTTATGCATTTAGGATTTTCAAACGTAATGAAGCGAATGAAACCTATGGATAAAAATTAAAATAATGATATTAAATGGATCAGTACAATGTAAATTGTAAAAGTTGTAATTTGTATCGCAAATAAAAAATAATAATAAATCGTTTGCGAGCTTTCGTCCAGTTTGGAAATTTTCGCCCAGTTTCGAAAGTTTCGTTCCGGAAGTTTCGCTAGGGGACTAGTTTTAGTTTCGCCTAAAACACTAATACCTAAGTTTTTGTGCGTATAGTACCCATAAATGGTTAGCCAGATTGTTTACAAAAAAAAAAGTTCGTGCTTATAAATTTTATATAATGATAGAGAGGTAACGTAATACAGATTGAATCCTCTCAAGTTAATGAAGTCATTTTCTTGGCAAAATTATGCCGATCATAACATATTAATTTGTATTTATAATCACAATAAACTAATCATAAAGAGTTACCTCAAAAACACGCGGCGCTATTATTTACGGCCATAATTGTAGACAATCAAGTCGCATGGTTGCTAAACAGGGAAAACAGTTGTTAATGATATTTTACTCTTTAACACCAAAAAAACAAACCGGTCGTCCATCAATATGCCTAAAGAATTGAGGCTGGAATTAAATATTAAATTTTTATCTCATGTTTACTAATTGGTCGTCAGTGATTTTTTTGATGATATATTCATGCCTGTAATTTTTCTGATGATATTTTTCATGTTCACGTGTTTTTATAGTTTATTTATACCTTTCCCATCACTGGACGTTAGTCTCCATGAGATAAAAAAGTTATTTCACGTGTCGCATAAATATCATGATTTTCACGGCGCAGCCGTGAAAATCGTTGATATTCATGACTCCCCGTGAAATAACTATTAAACCATAAATTAATTGAATTTTCACGTCAGATAATTTTGATCGTCTTATTTTGAACGTAAACCTTTCAAAGATCTTAAAACCTTCCTATAAAGGTAATCAAAAATAAACCATTTACATTATGAATTAATTGAATTATTTGTATTTGAATCATGCATAATTAATTGTTTGTTAAACATCCCTTGTATTCCGAGTTTGGATTACAATCATTACATGACATAAAATTGACCTTAATACAGTATATGTCCTATGCTGATCATTACAAAAGTTTAGACAAATTTGATCGATGTACTATACTACTAATAACGATGCTCAAATCAATTTGACGGCTAAAAATATTATGCCCCAACGTGACGTCACGCCCTTATTCGTCAGCATGTCTGAAATGTGTGCCAGGTTGGCAAATGTATCGTTCTTATACGTGTACGACATACTATCTTATACGACCTATATTATGTGACATATCCGTCGTATAAGAACATAGCACCTGATCGTATAAGAACGATACATTTGCGCCAGGTTGATGGCGCAGTGTGGCGCAGCGATTTTTCCAAAAAAATTAAATTGCAATTTTTTTTATTTATAATAAAACCTTTAAATTCCTGAACTAGGTGTATTTTTGTCCGCTCTGCAAATTTACTTAGAGCATATACAGGTGGTNTGGTTTAGAAGGCCATTTTCGAGTTATTTAACAAAAACTGTTCTTTCGACAAATCCAATTTTGGAAATGATCGGCAAAGACGATAAAATCGGTTGTTATATACTAGAGTCAAAATCTACTTCCAAAACCTCCTTTCATTTATAAGTGAATTTTGTAAAACAGATGAAAATACATCTAGTGTGTAAATTTAAAAGCTTTATATTAAAAAGAAAATCTTTAACTTAAATCTTTTTGAAATTACTGCGCCACACTGCGCCGTCAACCTGCAGACAGACGCACATCTGAAATTGACGGCGCAGTGTGGCGCAGTAATTTTAAAAAGAAATAAGTTAAAGATTTTCTTTTTAATGTAATATTTTCAAATTTACACATTAGATGTATTTTCATCTGTTTTACAAAATTCACTTATAAATGGAAGGAGGTTTTGGAAGTAGATTTTGACTTTAGTATATAACAACTGATTTTATTGTCTTAGCCAATCATTTCCAAAATTGGATTTGTCGAAAGAACAGTTTTTGTTAAATAACTCGAAAATGGCCTTCTAAACCACCCATATATTCTCTAAGTAAATTTGCAAAGCGGACAAAAATACATCTAGTATAGTAATTTAAAGGGTTTATTTTAAATAAAAAAAATTGCAATTTAATTTTTTTGGAAAAAATCACTGCGCCACACTGCGCCGTCAACCTGACATACATTTCAGATGTGCATTTCAGACGTGCTATTTGTCACTGTTTATTTTCACGTGTTAGTACATAACGCCATAATGAGGGCCAAACTCAGGCTTTTTTGATGGTGTTGGGGGAGTTTAGGTAACATAAAGTAATTACCAAAAAATTTACGTTCTGTACCTTACTATATAAGAGAAGTAACATAATAGATCATGTGACCTTACATTACTTACTTAGCCAATTTCCGTTACTTACTTTTTATATATTCGATTTTTGATGGTGTTACTGGGAAAGATGATTGGATACGGGTTCTTTATTTCTTTAGGAGTATGGATAGATTGTCGTTAGAGACTAGGAAATAAATGTAAACAAGAATTTTTTGTTCTAAAAAATACCAAAGGTTTTTAATAGCAATCTAGAATGGATTTTATGAATTATAAACACTCTTTGGATTAGAGGAATTTTTTGGAATTTGGATTTGGAGAAAGGTGTTAGGATGCGTGAACGGATGAGGATTCACTGTTCATTGTTCAAGGTTGATTACGATTGCGCTTTCAAGGAGATTCAGATTTCTAAAAAAAAGAAGAAATTAAATAAATCATTTTTATTGTAAAGTTTTGAATTATTTTTTGATTCTTGAACTACAGAAAAGGATTTTTTTTAAATCATAAATAGCATTTTATTCATTTTGAAAAGTAAAATGGTAGCTATAAAGCCATAAAAGTTGTACTAATACAGCTTTCAATTTTTGATTTAACATGAACTTTGCAACTTAAAGCATTTAGATATCATAAAAAAACTCTTCTTTAGTATAACACTATATATATAAAAGTTTTTAAAAAAATGAAATAATATTTTTAGAAACAACTTTTTAATAATAAATTATTTTATTTTCTCTTTCAGGATCAGGTTTACTAGTTTTATTTCATTAACATTTGAGAGTAAATAATTTTCTTTGGAATAGAATATAAGGTTCTATAAGAAGAATTCTGTTGAAAAGAAATCTTACAGTATATAGTTAATCTTAATAGTATAGTTATATATAGTGTTCTTTTTTTAATATCTGATGTGTATATATACTAGACAAATAATACTCTAATTAGAAATCAAAGATCACTTAGATTGATCACATGTGGAGATATTAATGATTAGGCTAAAAAATAGAAAATTAATGTATTGAACGAAATTACTCTTCAACTAATGCAATTTTTGATAGATTTTATTCTCTTTATAAATGATTTAGAATCATATTCATAGCATATATGTATGTCAAATTATTTAGAATTTTTCTATAAGAATTATATTTGATGTTAATTTTTAAATAGATGGCACATATTGAAGTCCCTCATTTTACTTCAAATTTTAATAAAATTTTAGAATCAGATATACAGTACCAAAATAACCAAATAATCGTTTATTAATTTGGAAAGTTTTATCATGTGAAATTTTAATCCGCCAAGACATTTGCATCAAAAAAAATGTATTTAAAAGTTATTACATAATAAAAGTTGATCATAGATTTTGATAAAAATAAATAAGCTTAAATTAATAAATTACCAATTAGAGTTAATTGGTTGGGGTATTTTAATATGTAGAATTTTTCAAAAAAGACAACTAATCTCACAATGGTAGTGAGACATTGTCTGAGCCAGTGAAGTGTTCCGAACAGGTCGGGTCCTGATATGATCCGAGTAATAGTTAAGTCTCACCTCGTCCCTCGGTAAGTAATAAATTCATATACTTTTTATCATGTGAATTTATGCTCCAATCACTACTATTGTAATAAATTCAAAGGATGTCCTTGAATATGAGAACTAACAGAAAATAATCTTTTTTTTTTCGTTGAAACGGATAAAATTTTTTCCGGTTAATTTACTAGCTGCGGATTTGGCGTTAAATCAGACTGTCGTGATTCCGCTATTTATCGTTTGGTGTGACTATGATCATTAAACTTTGTTATTAACAAAAATAGAATTATGAACAATCTCATTTATTATTTTACACCAATTTGATTATATAGAATAATGTCATTTTTTACGTAGAGAGAACTTGTTTATGTTACAATAAGAGAATACTAAAAGAAATTCATGGTATTAAATTGACATAAGTTTTACAATCACTTTATTCTCATGATTAAAATTTTTAATTTAAAAGTGTTTTTGCTATATTAAACAGATAACGAATAAAAATTCTTAACTGGAAAAAATTTTAATGATTTATTATCTTATTTAGGTGGATAGTTAATAACCCCAGATAATGTGACAATCAGACAAAATAGGCAATATTCACGATCCTAAGTCCTGACAAGAGTAGACATTAGCCCTGTTCAAAATCGTTCGGTCGCATTTTTTGGTCGATTGTGGTTTAATTTGATTGGCCAGATCTGCTTGCATTTGTTTGCGCGACCGATCTTTTAGACCAATATTTTTTTAGGTTTTTTGGATCGAACTTTTTCTACCAATAATATTGCTTTATTCTAACTGATCGAAAAATGCAACCGAACGATTTTGAACAGGGCTAATTGTATCTTTCTCTGATATTTAACAATAGTCAAATTTTTATTTTAAATATTGTTTATTCCTTTCTTAAGATTAATAGAGTTTGTACTTGAATAATTTATTTCATATATATGTTGTGAGATGTAAATTGACGCGTTACCTGTATCGACACAACCAAGTATTACATAATATAATCACTTTTTTATTTGTTATTTGTGAAATTATCTTTTATTCTATAAGTAAATAAATAAACTACACATGAAAATTTTATATGTAAAATCATAACTTGTAATTTATAAAGAATTTTGAATGAAGTTAGTGTTTTCTATGAGTTTAAGTCAAATCAATCTGATATAATACAGTAATTAGTAAAGAATATTGTATACATTTAAAAAAAAAAACACATTGATTTAATTACAGTACATTATTAAGAGCCTATTATTAGTTGCAGTATATTTTGATTATTGTCAAGTCTCTACAATATAATAAATTGTATATGTTAACGCGACGCGTCCTTTTAACTTTTACATGCTATTTAGTATACGAAAAAATATAAAAGCAATTAGCTTATGTAACTAAATTAAAGATTGCAGAAAATTATGGGTTAACGTTTTTTGATGCAAATATCGGTGAATGAATTAATACTTTATTTTCCGATGCATGTGAAGTTAAGATTTACAGATGCAGTAGTATTACATATTGCGAAATGAGAACATTATTCTAGCATTAAATTATACTACACTTTTTGAGATTTTTTCGGGGTTGGTGTCGTCTCCGGAAGATTGTCGATAGTAAACAAATCTTCTGGCTTTGCTTGTAACGCTACTCTTTTTATTTTCTTAACAACACCAAGAACATTTGTTATATCATTCTGCGATCATTAGAAAAATTTAAAATTCGTAAGAAAAATTTTCAACTAGCGAATTGATGATACAAATACGTACCTTTAAACTTAATACATCTTTTAAAGCCACGAGGCTTTCTGGAAAGCTTCCCCATGTCGTTCCAATTCGATATTGGCAAATCTTAAACACGAAATAGTATCCAATATTGGCATCATAGTACATTGCATACATCTTCCCATTAAGGCCTTTGTTAAAATATAAAGAATGGTGTCAACTAATTTTATATTAGAGTGTAAGACATGTGAAAATATATTCTCCGTTGCCTCACAGTACCTCCATGAGTTATTCCGTGTAAAACAATGTTCTTTACTCCTTTAATAGATTCCTTTGTGAATTTTAAATTCTTCAGGAGGCGATCTAGTTGATCCTTCATTTCACGAAAAAGCTTATGTTTGTAGTTAATTGGTTTCGAGTTATGAGGATCTTCATCGGTGTATGTTTCCGAGCCGAAATATTCCATATTATCAATACGGAATAAAATATCGATCTTGTGTCCAGATCTTTTTTTTTCCGTATCTTCTCTTGCCATGTTCTTACGCTCGATTGATGCCAAAGACATCTCTTCGCCACTGAAGTGATGGAGAAAATAATTTGAGACTTAAAGGTAAGAAACAAACTATCGCATTAAATTTTATTAGGAAATTTCATACTAACCGATGCACTTGAATCTCCTCGCAATTCAAAAAGCAATCGTCAATCAACGGAGTCAATAAGTGACAATTGATCCAGCCCTCGGAGTTTTTATCTAAGAGCGGATTTCTTGGAGCTTCAAAAAACAATGATCTAGATAATAAGACGAATTGTTATAAGATGGGTTTAACATAAACAATGCAAAAATTCCGTTTATATAGACGAGAACCAAATGAGACTCACAGTTTGTCAGCGAAACGATGGACCCAATGTATTTCGTAGTGCTTACTAAATGAATATGTTTCATCTGATGGAACAAACGGAAGCTGGAGTTTTCTGCGGAATTCATTGCGAGTATCAGACTGAAATCAGAGACAAAGAAAAGGTGTTATCAAAATTAATAATGATTATAAAGATAATCCTTAAAACATACATTATTGATTAATTCGTCAATATAATTTGTAGCATTATTAATGACAGGATCCCATTTATAATCACGTTTAATTTTCAACCTATCCACTAAAATCTTATTTGTTGTGTCGATTATGTTTGAGCAGATCGGCTCACTATAATAAAAAAAATGGTGAAATTAGTCAGTTACTAATGTAGGAATATAAATTAGCTTTAATAGTTTTTACTTACTAAGTGGATTTCGCTCGTAGTTTTTCTTGTTTTAATCGTTTAATTAAATCTTGGTTATCAGATATAGAACAAATTTGATGAGGTGGAGTATGTGGCTTATCATACTCGGGACTATTACCAGGAAGCGCAGGGTCTAGTGCGGAAATGACTAGTGGTATAGACGAAATTGATGATGATGATGATGCGTTCGGTGCTCCTTGTGATGATGATTGTGATGATGATTGTGATGATGATGGTATTGGTACTTCTGGTGTTGATGATGATCTTGGTTCTCCTTGTGATGATGATGATGATGATGAGGATGGCGTGTCTTTCGTGGTTTTGGCCTGTTTACGCAAAAAAAAAATAGAAAATTTTTGAGAAGAATTCACGGTAACAAATCCTATCCATCATAGGGATGCATTTTATACTGACTTTCTTCGCTGAATAAACTGACTCTTTATTCTGTAAATATAAGAAATCATTGAAAATTATTGTATAAAATTCAAGGTAACATAAGGTCTTCAATATCCTAACCTTTTTCGGAAGGGATAACTGCTTCTTCCGCTTCAGTTGACGTACGGGCATGAAATCATAATCGGACTAAATACAAAAAGAAAGAGTTGGTTTCTATTAGACAATCATTTCCAGCTGTTTCTCAATTTCTAGAGAAAATATGAGTATATACCTCATCTTGATCTCTTTCCCGGTTTCTTTCCTTTGGAAATTTAATATTATTGATTGCCCCCGAGTTGCCACCCAGAGAATTTCCAGTGATTGTTGAGTTATGAAAATGGAATGAAGATCCCGCTCTGACCGACGTACGCTTCTCCCAATTTCTTGCTTCTTTGTAATCAGGCCCAGGCCGATCATCCTTACATAAAAAATTTGAGAATTAGTAATTATTTAAAGTGGCATGTTCCTGACTCCCACCCAATTCCCATCCCATCTGGTCGGCGAAGAGCCTTGAATGACAAGAACCGAAGAGGTCCCCTGTCACGCCACTATTTTTCACATATAAAAAAGAATTTTTAGTTTCCTACCTTATTATATCTATAAAGGAGATACCTTGCTTTGTCTTGATTGGCACCTTCCTCATAATCAACAATAGCTCTCAATGATTTGAGGTAATGATCGATCTTGCCTTCAAATGTTTCTATATCGCACTCGTTAAGAAAATCTATAATATTCCATTTCGTATACTTACGTTCAAAGTATTTGTCTATCATAGGCATGATTGATCGTGGACGCGTGGACGAAAACTATTAATTTTAGATGAATTATTACCTATTAAACAGATGCCGCGCACAACTTTGATATGACTTATATAACGATAACTGACCGTTTGTACGCGTAATACTTCTACAACTTTCTACAACTTTCTACAACGTGCGTTTGATATGACTACTGACCGCTGTACGCGTAATACTTCTACAACTTTCTACAACTTTCTACAACGTGCGTTTGATATGACTACTGACCGCTGTACGCGTAATACTTCTACAACTTTCTACAACTTTCTACAAGGTGCTTTTGATATGACTACTGACCGCTGTACGCGTAATACTTCTACAACTTTCTACAACTTTCTCTACAACGTGACTACTGACCGCTGTACGCGTAATACTTTATAACTACAACTTTTGTTATCACGTGATTTTGTGTTACCAGCGATATTTATTTGCTTAATCAGCCTGCGGCGGTGCGGCCCTAGTTTTGGTGAATTCTACTGTAACTCGTGATTTAAAAACAAATATAAAAAATTTGCGTTTATGACACATTTCTGCTTACTGCTTTATTTTTATCGAACCAAAATTTGAAAATTTGTCCATGGAAGAAAATACTTTTATTAAATTTGTACAAAAACAAGGCTGAATGAATATCTAGATTTCTGCGAAGAACTAAACATCAAAACAAAAAAAAAAAAGTACCGCCAAGTCCATAGCTGGTTCTTCCGATTCCTGAAATAATCTCTATTGTAGATGAGGTTACTTTTGATACTAATATTATAGGAGGAAATACCCCTATACGCGATTATGTCGCCGACTTATCAAGCTTAGAAAGCGCGGAAATGACTAGTGATATTACAAACGAAATTAATAGTCCCGAGTATGATAAGCCACATACTCCACCTCATCAAATTCGCTCTACATCTGAAAACCAAGATTTAATTAAACTTAGTAAGTAAAAACATGTCTATTAAAGTTAATTTATATTCCTACATTATTAACTGACTAATTTCACCATTTTTTATTATAGTGAGCCGATCTAAATAAGAAATAAGTGTTAATGTCAAAGATATTTTGTATCATGAAAATTCATGTATTAAAGGAAATTGGCCTGAGGCAATAAATAGACTAGTCGTATCAACTGATGAAGCTGTAAAGAAAATCAATATAAAATCTCTGTGGAATGTAATTTTTCTACAACAACAAATAATTCTCTTGCTCAAACATAATCAACACAACAAATAAGATTTTAGTGGATAGGTTGAAAATTAAACGTGATTATAAATGGGATCCTGTCATTAATAATGCTACAAATTATATTGACGAATTAATCAATAATGTATATTTTAAGGATTATCTTTATAATCATTATTAAGATGGAACATATTCATTTAGTAAGCACTACGAAATACATTGGGTCCATCGTTTCGCTGACAAACTGTGAGTCTCATTTGGTTCTCGTCTATTATAAACGGAATTTTTGCATTGTTTATCGTTATGTTAAACCCATCTTATAACAATTCGTCTTATTATCTAGATCATTGTTTTTTGAAGCTCCAAGAAATCCGCTCTTAGATAAAAACTCCGAGGGTTTGATCAATTGTCACTTATTGACTCCGTTGATTGATGATTGCTTTTTGAGATTCAAGTGCATCGGTTAGTGTGAAATTTCCTAATAAAATTTAATGCGATAGTTTGTTTCTTAGCTTTAAGTCAAATTTTTTTCTCCATCACTTCAGTGGCGAAGAGATGTCTTTGGCATCAATCGAGCGTAAGAACATGACAAGAGAAGATACGGAAAAAAAAAGATCTGGACACAAGATCGATATTTTATTCCGTATTGATAATATGGAATATTTCGGCTCGGAAACATACACCGATGAAGATCCTGATAACTCGAAACCAATTAACTACAAACATAACGATCATGTTAATTAAGGTACTTCGAACGAGATTTCCCGCCGTAGACGACAACGTACCGTCCACGATTCTCCAGGTACTCCTTTAATACCTTATGGTCGCGTTGATGGTTTTTACAACGATACGGCCCACATTAGGTGGACATCAAGTAATTTTTTACATTCGGGTTCGTGGGAATCCCATCGAGACGATATTTGGCTCGATAACATAGATTTATTCAAATTTTTAATTATAATATTATAGACAATAATTATTCAAATAGATAGTTTTTTTTTATGATAGTATTCTGTTCGTTAAATTATTCCCTTCCCTTGGCGGGTGAGTCCCGGAAGTGGTCTTGGATCCCTTTCGTCTCTCGCTCTTCTTCAAAGGTCAGGTATCATCGTCTTCTTCGGATCGCGATTTGGTTGTTAGTGTTAGAATTATCTTATTCCTTAATTGTATTAGATAAAAATTATTCCCGGTTTAATGTATTTTTGTCCTTATAATTTGTACAACCCTGCGTCATAAAAATAAAAATAAAAAATATTATGTACGTGAAATAAAATTCTTGGATTTTTTTTTACAAAAAATTTTACCGTGTTTTAGACATTTTTATTTCTAGCAATGAGTGTAAAAAAGAGTTAAGATTTTTTTATCTTTAATTAGTTTAATATAATTAATTTTAATAATAAATACAGAATAATTATCAAAAAAAAATTATAAACCCGTTTTTATTTTGTTCGAATGGAATTTTTGTTTTTTATTGATTTTTTTTGAATCTAATTACTATATACCTATATATATGCAAAAGGATAATTTCTTTATAATTATTATGTAAATTAATTAATTACATTATCATTTATAAATTATGTGATATTTTTGAGACTTTTCTTTTTTTCCTTGCTGGCATCACGTTAGGATCATTTTCCTTGGAATATTCTTTACGCCTTTGAATTGAGGTTACTTATATAGGAATTTTTGAACGATTCTTTACATTAAATTCGAGTCAAAATTTGATAATTTTGATGCAAGTATGATACCAATTGCCCGTTAGATTTATTCTTTGATTTTTCATATCCCTCTAAAAATTTTCTATTCCTGATAATAATTGATCGTTATCAACCCAAGAATTCTTTGATTAATCTAATACGTGATTCTCGATTTTGGTGATTAAGTTCTAACTCTGAAGATGTTCTATAATTTTATTAAAAAAAAAAAATCGAGACTTTACTACTATACCTTGCAGTCTCTAATGAATCATATTTAATGATTTTCAAATGTTTATCAATTAAATTTGTATCTAATGAATTAGAATAATTTTAGAATTTTCCATTGAATTTGTATTGTTTCCAATGAATTAGATGTGTGCAATACATTTTTGACTCATTACTTGCACCTAAACTAATTTCTCTATATTTCTTGAAAAGATTGTATACAAAATTATAATCTGGATTTGTTACCCGATCAGCCAATAAAGAAATAAGTTCTTTTTCATCTGCAACCGCTAAATGTAAACTATCTTCATAAGTATAAATTGCAGTTGCTAGAGAGCGCACTAGCTGATAGTGCCGAAAGATTGCAGAAAAAATTATAGGTTAATGCTACTTAACGTTTTTTGATGCAAATATCGGTGAATGAAATTAATACTTTATTTTCCGATGCACGTGAAGTTAAGATTTACAGATGCAATAGTATTACATATTATAATGATTTTCTTCCCTATTGTCTTAATATTTCCATACAAACAGTATTTAACATATATAATAAGATGGGTTCATATGTAATATCTGTGCTTTCATCCACCATAATTCCAAACGCAGCTGCTTCAGCCAATTATTTTTTCTATTGAATTTGAAATAGCAGATAAAATTTCACGTCCAGACATTATTTTCATAAGTAATTGTATTAGAAGCTGATAATAGCTGTGGGCAATCAAGAATTCTATATAGTCTTACAACTTCAGGTAATTCGTTTAGTGAAATATCATTTTCTGCTAGCCAAAATATTATCTTCATTAAAACACTAACGTGATTTTGAGCCCTATCTATAGCATTGTTGGTAACCTTAATAAGTTCTACCTTTGCAATCTCTCGATTTGGTGATTAGTTGTGAAATGTTCTAAATGTTCTGATAGTGCGGAAGATTTAAAATTCTTTGAATTAATTTTAATTTAAATTAATTATTTATAAAATAAAAAAAAAATACCATACCTTCTTTTCCAAACTTATTTTGTTTTTTATGACTTTGGCATAGTGAGCAAAACATTAGATTTCTTGATCCATCATATATCAACCACTTATAAATATTTAACCTTTCATTTTGAAAAACTCCTGTTTTCCTCTTTGATAAAAGTTGCACTTTCTTTTTTTTTTAAATTTAATTTTTTTGTGTTGCGCGTCTATAGTTATTTGGTACTTCAATATTAGCTTCTTCTAAATCCGAATCTACTTCACTAGAATAATTATTGTCAAATTCTACGTTTTCATTAGGCATTTTTGTCTTAAAATATTGCTCGATAACGATGATTAGCCCTTGTAATAAAATTTTTTAACAAAAAATTTGTGTTCCGATTAGCCATACTGATCATATGAAATTATCACGTGATACGCTATATCTTTAATAGTTTTCGTCCACGCGTCCACGTTTATTCATGCCTGTGATAGACAAATACTTTGAACGTAAGTATACGAAATGGAATTTATATATTTTCTAAACAAGTGCGATATAGAAACATTTGAAGGCAAGATCGATCAAATCATTGAGAGCTATTGTTGATTATGAGAGAGGTGCAAATCAAGACAAACAAGGTATCGCCTTGATAGATATAATAAGGTAAGAAGCTAAAAATTCTTTTTTATATGTGAAAAATAGTGGCGTGACAGGGGACCTCTTCGGTTCTTGTCATTCAAGGCTCTTCGCTTAGTCACAAAACTAGTGTTAGGGCACATATGACCTCTTCGGTTGTCTGATGTTCAAAGCTCTTCGCTGACCTGGCACTGGTCCCACTGGGCACAGCTGACCTCTTCGGTTGTCTGATGTTCAAGGCTCTTCGCCGACCAGATGGGATGGGAAATTGGGTGGGAGTCAGGAACATGCCACTTTAAATAATTACTAATATAATTCTCTAATTTTTATGTAAGGATGATCAGCCTGGGCCTGATTACAAAGAAGCAAGAAATTGGGAGAAGCGTACGTCAGTCAGAGCGAGATCTTCATTTCATTTTCACGAAAGACACGCCATCCTCATCATCATCATCACAAGGAGAACCAAGACAATCATCAACACCAGAAGTACCAATACCATCACCATCACAAGGAGCACCGAACGCATCATCATCACCAGGAATACCAAAACCATTTCCACAAATCAATTAATGATATTAAATCCCTCAGAAACAAAAATATCCTTTACATGGACCAACTTACGTCACCCGATGGTCATTTTTTACTCCCATGGAAAGACGTACAACAACAACAACTACAAAGGACCCATACCGAAATGGTGCAACAATTTAATTGGCATTTATGTTCTTAGCGATAATCTTCGCTTGACACACCCATTGAAGGACGTCATAAGTGTAATTAATCGGACTCACAAATCACCTCGAATTACACCAGCAATCACATCACCCAAATGCGAATTGGACCGTACATTGGAACAACCAACACAAAAACGTAGTTTTTGGAAAAACTTTCTCTCATATTTGTACAATAAATTCATCTGATTAAATATAATATACTGCCACGATCCGAGAAATGATCGTGCTGATGAACTAGCTAACGCGGGATCTCACAGCAAAGACCCCATAATAGTCGACCATAAATTTTTCAATCAAACTAGTTTGGGACTTATCAAATGGACCGACATCTATGTTATTGATCGAAACGTTAGAAAATGGTCGGACAATGTCATCAATCCTCAGATCTTTAATTCTATGATTAACAACTCCTCCCTATCACTTAAAGTACAAATCATCCATGGTGATATAGATTGGAACTTAACTCGTGAATGGATAAATTTCAATCCCTTGGACTCCCCTACAAGTGCTAAAGGATCCAAGATCAAAAAATGTAACTTTATTTATCCTACTGCGGATATCCAACAAAGAAATTATCCGCGTTTATATCCTTCAGGAAATATTCCGTGTTTACAGTGTTATAATAATGTAGACAACAACGAACACATAGCCCACAAATACCCCCAGATAATGTGTCAATCAGACAAAATAATAGGTAATATTCACGATCCTAAGTCCTGACAAGAGTAGACATTGCATCTTTCTCTGATATTTTACAATAGTCAAATTTTTATTTTAAATATTGTTTATTCCTTTCTTAAGATTAATAGAGTTTGTACTTGAATAATTTATTTCATATATATGTTGTGAGATGTAAATTGATACCTGGCGACGCGTTACCTGTATCGACACAACCAAGTATTACATAATATAATCACTTTTTTTATTTGTTATTTGTGAAATTATCTTTTATTCTATAAGTAAATAAATAAACTACACATATTATGAAAATTTTATACTTATTTGATTTATGTGAAATCATAACTTGTAATTTATAAAGAATTTTGAATGAAGTGTTTTCTATCAAATCAATCTGATATAATACAATAATTAATAAAGAATATTGTATACAAAGAATGGTGTCAGCTAATTTTATATTAGAGTGTAAGACATTTGAAAATATATTCTCCGTTGCCTCACAGTACCTCCATGAGTTATTCCGTGTAAAACAATGTTCTTTACTCCTTTAATAGATTCCTTTGTAACTTTTAAATTCTTCAGGAGGTGATCTAGTTGATCCTTCATTTCACGAAAAAGCTTATGTTTGTAGTTAATTGGTTTCGAGTTATGAAGATCTTCATCGGTGTATGTTTCCGAGCCGAAATATTCCATATTATCAATACGGAATAAATATCGATCTTGTGTCCAGATCTTTTTTTTCCGTATTTCGTATCTTCTCTTGTCATGTTCTTACGCTCGATTGATGCCAAAGACATCTCTTCGCCACTGAAGTGATGGAGAAAATAATTTGAGACTTAAAGCTAAGAAACGAACTATCGCATTAAATTTTATTAGGAAATTTCATACTAACCGATGCACTTGAATCTCCTCGCAATTCAAAAAGCAATCGGAGTCAATAGGTGACAATTGATCCAACCCTCGGAGTTTTTATCTAAGAGCGGATTTCTTGGAGCTTCAAAAAACAATGATCTAGATAATAAGACGAATTGTTATAAGATGGGTTTAACATAAACAATGCAAAAATTCCGTTTATATAGACGAGAACCAAATGAGACTCACAGTTTGTCAGCGAAACGATGTATTCGTAGTGCTTACTAAATGAATATGTTCATCTGATGGAACAAACGAAGCTGGAGTTTTCTGCGGAATTCATTGCGAGTGTCAGACTGAAGCTGAAATCAGAGATAAAGAAAAGGTGTTATCAAAATTAATAATGATTACAAAGAAAATCCTTGAAACATACATTATTGATTAATTCGTCAATATAATTTGTGGCATTATTAATGACAGGATCCCATTTATAATCACGTTTAATTTTTGTTGTGTCGATTATGTTTGAGCAAGAGAATTATTTGTTGTAGAAAAATTACATTCCAATAGAAATTTTATATTGATTTCTTTACAGCTTCATCAGTTGATACGACTAGTCTATTTATTGCCTCAGGCCAATTTCCTTTAATACATGAATTTTCATGATACAAAATATCTTTGACGTTAACACTTATTTCTTATTTAGATCGGCTCACTATAATAAAAAAATGGTGAAATTAGTCAGCTAATAATGTAGGAATATAAATTAACTTTAATAGACATGTTTTTACTTACTAAGTGGATTTCGCTTGCAGTTGTTTTAATCGTTTAATTAAATCTTAGTTTTCAGATGTAGAGCGAATTTGATGAGGTGGAGTATGTGGCTTATCATACTCGGGACTATTAATTTCGTTTATACCACTAGTCATTTCCGCACTAGACCTGCGCTTTCTAAGCTTGATAAGTCGGCGACATAATCGCGTATAGGGGTATTTCCTCCTATAATATTAGTCAAAAGTAAGATCCAACGAAAAACCATATTTGTTAATTAAGTCTAGAGATCGTGTTAAATAGCAAAATAGGTGACAGAACTAGGGCTAAATATCGCTGGTAACACAAAATCACGTGATAAAGAAGTTGTAGTAGCTAGGGGTTAGATAAATATACGGGGGGACAACTCATAGGTTACACAGGCTGATTAGTGATCGCTAGAACTGTCACCATATGTAAATTACTATGTGTTACTAGTAAAATGTAACGATACCCCATGTTTAAAGTGAAAGATCTGCCGATAATCAACCCATCACAAAATAAAAACTATTTTTCGGAAATGACGAAATGCTCAAGTTTATCGTTACGTATTTTTTTTCGTTAGTTTATTTTCTGTATTTTTCAAAAAATAGGATCGGCTATTTGAAATACCTCAAAACTATATGAAAAATTATTACACACTTGAAAATAATACATAATAAAAGAAGAAAGCACTATTTTTAAATGTTTTAAGCAAAAATATTTTATAACTTTTTATTGGAATCTCTAAAAAAAAAAAAGTATAATTCTAGCTTTCTAATATAAAAGTAACAAATACATATAAAATTAAGAACGAAGCAACCAGTGGTTCAATTTTGATAAAAAAACTACACTTACATAGAGCTAACATATACAACCTTAACTTTTAAGATCGGCTGCTTCTCTATCTATACGCGTCGAAAAAATCAAAAAAAAGTAAAATTTTTGCGCGATTTAATATGAAAATTCGTTTGTGTAACCAATTTATAGTGGCGACAGTTCGGGTTTTTATTGATCAGCCTGTGTAACCTATGAGTTGTCCCCCGTATATTTATCTAACCCCTAGGTAGTAGAAAGTTGTAGAAGTATTACGCGTACACCCAGTAGTCACCTTGTAGAAAGTTGTAGAAAGTTGTAGAAGTATTACGCGTACAACCTTTTTTGATTCGAATTTAGCTTGACAGATAAGGATTTTTCATCAAAGTTAGTTTGTATTGGGGATAAAATACTGTTTGACCGAGACATTTTATCTAGTTCCTCATCTTCAAGATTCCATACTGTTAAATACTTCTTCATAAATTCGTACGTTGTTATTATCTTTGCGGTTACTTCAAATCTTCTTATTCTTTCAATCTCTGCTATTTCATTATATCCCATTCTTTTCAGATCCATTCTGATAATTTCTTCAAATATTTTTGTTGTTTCTGTTTCTTCAACATTAACGGTCAGTTATCGTTATATAAGTCATAGCGGCATCTGTTTAATAAGTAATACGAAATGGAATATTATAGATTTTCTTAACGGGTGCGATATAGAAGCATTTAAAGGCAAGATCGATCATTACCTCAAATCATTGAGAGCTATTGTTGATTATGAGGAAGGTGCCAATCAAGACAAAGCAAGGTATCTCCTTGATAGATATAATAAGGTAGGAAGCTAAAAATTCTTTTTTATATGTGAAAAATAGTGGCGTGACAGGGGACCTCTTCGGTTCTTGTCATTCAAGCTCTTCGCTTAGCCACAAAACTAGTGTTAGGGCACATATGACCTCTTCGGTTGTCTGATGTTCAAAGCTCTTCGCTGACCTGGCACTGGCCCCACTGGGCACAGCTGACCTCTTCGGTTGTCTGATGTTCAAGGCTCTTCGCCGACCAGATGGGATGGGGAGTCAGGAACATGCCACTTTAAATAATTACTAATATAATTCTCAAATTTTTTATGTAAGGATGATCGGCCTGGGCCTGATTACAAAGATGCAAGAAATTGGGAGAAGCGTACGTCGGTCAGAGCGGGATCTTCATTTCATTTTCACAACTCAACAATCACTGGAAATTCTCTGGGAGGCAACTCGGGGGTAATCAATAATGTTAAATTTCCAAAGGAAAGAAACCGGGCAGCCTTATCAATGACTTATACAACCGGACAACCGATTTTATTCGTTGGAACCGGTCAAACGTATACAGACTTAAAGAACATGAGAGTTGGACATACCGAAATGGTACAACAATTTAATTGACGATTATGTTCTTAGCGATAATCTTCGCTTGACACACCCATTGAAGGACGTCATAAGTGTAATTAATCGGACTCACAAATCACCTTGAATTACACCAGCAATTACATCACCCAAATGCGAATAGACCGTACATTGGAACAACCAACACAAAAACGTAGTTTTTGGAAAAACTTTATCTCATACTTATACAACAAATTCATCTGATTAAATATAACGATCCAAGAAATGATCGTGCTGATGAACTAGCTAACGCGGGATCTCTAATCAAAGACCCCATAATAGTCAACCATAAATTTTTCAATCAATGGTCGGACAATTTCAGATCTTTAATTCTATGATTAACAGCTCCTCCCTATCACTTAAAGTACAAATCATCCATGGTGATATAGATTGGACCTTCACTCGTGAATGGATAAATTTCAATCCCTTGGACTCCCCTACAAGTGCTAAAGGATCCAAGATCAAAAAATGTAACTTTATTTATCCTACTGCGGATATCCAACAAAGAAATTATCCGCGTTTATATCCTTCAGGAAATATTCCGTTATAATAATGTAGACAACAACGAACACGTGGGTTTATGTATAGCCCACATAGACATCATTATCGATATCCTTAGAAAACATGAAGCTCTCTTGTTTAATATCATTACAGAGGCGTCAGAAAGTTACACCTGTGATCTCAAAGACAGCATTGAACGATCACATTTATTCGACATAGGTTTCGGAAATATTTTGCCAAAAGACCAACCCTTCTACCTCATGATCCATCATTTGGTCCCTGCCAGTCTTACGGTTATTTTTATTAACTTCATTCCTAAGAAAAAGCTACGCTTTCAAGCCTTTTTGAATTTCGTGGATCATGGATGATGTCAACTCCACCATTTGGAACAAACGCAGCGAGCTCTTTAAAGAATGGGAAAAATCTCTAAATATTACTAAGCTTAAAAAGAAATCCTATAAACGCAAACGGAAGCTTTTTCGTGAAATGAAGGATTAACTAGATCGCCTCCTGAAGAATTTGAAATTTACAAAGGAATCTATTAAAGGAGTAAAGAACATTGTTTTACACGGAATAACTCATGGAGATACGGAGAATATATTTTCAAATGTCTTACACTCTAATATAAAATTAGCTGACACCATTCTTTATATTTTAACAAAGGCTTTAATGGGAAGATGTATGCCATGTACTACGATGCCAATATTGGATACTATTTCGTGTTCAAGACTTGCCAATATCGAATTGGAACGACATGGGGAGTGAGTGATTGACTAATATGATTTTATGATTTTACCGCATGAAAAATTTACACGGAGCAAATTAAGAAGTTTAAGGGATAAAAAAGGTTACGCAATTTTCCGGTCTAAGTCAATAATGTTTTTTAAGCAACAACATCATTATTACTAGGAAAACGGAAACTGTTGAAGTCCGTCGCGTTATTCAATTTTATTATGATAATATATATATATGTATAATTAAGTTTATTTACAATAATAAATAACTGTAAAAATTAGTAATTTTATATAAAAAAAAAATCAAAATCTATCAGATAGTAAAATTCCAGCATCGGATGTAATATATTTTTTTTTCGCGCTTTGCGAAGTTAGCAGTATGATATTAAGCACAATTCGCAAAATCAAATTCTTAATTATTGGTAGAAGTATTTATTAAAATCGGAGGTTATAAATGTGAAATTCGATATATAAAGTGTGTTCATGGAATTAAAATCAAAATAACGAAAATTGTTCTTAATTAAAATCATTGGCTAAGTTAATCAGATCACAATTAATTTAATTAAATTAATTTTTAAATGAGATGCGCATTGTAAATGTTACAACAATCGATACATGCTATAATAAAAGATATATTTGCAACGTGTAATAAATTACAAAGTAAAAAGCATGTGTACCGATAATTTTACATGTAATAAAAATGGAAATTGTTTTATTCAAAAAGTTAGAATCGAAAAGGAATTTTAAAATATATATTATTCACGTGATAATAAAGTCAATGCGACTCGAATTAAAAGAATTTTTTTTTTATTCGCAAGTGTTTTCATATACATATCCAAACATTATTTCATTTCTTATCTTTCTTAATTATAAAGGCAAATTATAATAAATTTGCAGTTAAATTTGCATTCGTTTTTATTATTTTTCAAATACTTCTTGTATATTACTTTTATACATAAAGCAAATTATGTAATACAGCCTACTCTACAAATGATACATAAATATATTGGATTTAATTGTAGAATAAGTATTAAAAATCAAACAAACAGTATTTTCATGTTAATACTTCTTTTTACTTTTTTTCTTTTTTTGTTTTTTTTGTTGCTTTTTTTTTTCACCTATTTTTAATTTATGCTTTAATGATTCCTTAATTATATCAATATCAAGATAAGCCTCAGATGATTTTGCCCATTCCTCAGCTTCTTTATCAAATGCATGTATTGGTACCAATTTGAAAGTATTCTCATTGACATAATAAAGATTTTTCTGATAATAAAGATAATTTGTTAAAGCTTCTTCCAAATTATCTCCTTTGCATATCATAGTATCATCTATGCAAGACCAATAATAAATGATACCACTAGAATCTTCTAGCCAAAAGACTGAATCCTCACATGTAAGTACAAGACAAAAATCAGTAATACCATGCATATTAGCAATGAAATATCAGCCAAGACATTTTTGTTTGTTTCATCACGATATGGTTGTTTATTCTTCAATACTTTAAGTGAAGGTAGATCTTGAGTATACTGTATTTCATAGTCATTCTGCAATTCAAGCAAGAAACTTTCACCTTTTATGTCAATGTTACTATTGCATAAGGTAGCTCATATCTCTGTAATTTTAGATGGAATCATATATTCATTTTGGCATAATTTTTAAATAGCCAGGACTCTTAATCCTCTTTCAAATTTCCACTCACATCCTAAGAAAAAAGATGATGGTGTATTAAATCAATTTTCTGACATATATTTATTATTTGTCTTTTGGTATTCCTCTTCCTTATTAGCAATGCTCTAAATGAGATTTTTATAATTTTCTAGTATTTTGATTTTCATGCTACATTTATTACTGTTGTATAGAAAAAGGTAAGAGTATTTCATATAATGGCAACTGGAATCATTACTCCATTTATATTTATTTTCAGATATTTCAAATTCCTACCCTAACATCTTGAAATTTTTTATTAGTAATCTCTAAAATATCATACAAATATTAATACAACACTTATTTAAAATATAATATAATATTTAAATTATATCTGTAAAGTATTAAGAACATCTTGTATAAAATTTCAAATTTTTACTTATTCTTAGAAGTTTTTTTAAATACATTCATAACTACAGTAATGCTTTTCAGGTTAAAAAAAAAAAGACAAAGACTCATTCCAGTAAAGATAGTGACTTACTTCTTCCTTAATATTTATATTATTTAATCTATACATACTATCCAGATTATTTTAGACTGCCATAATTATAAGTAAAATCCCAAATTCAATTATAACATCCCAAATTATTTTGGCATTTTACATATAGTAAATTATATATAAATTGAATGAATTACAGCATTCCAAATTATAATTATAACATCCCAAAATAATTTGGACAGCATATATAATTTAGTTAAATATAAAACATAGTCTTAATATAATATATCCAGTAAAAAGTTTATGTTGATTTTTTGTATAAAAAATGTAAGTTATAAATTTAACATGATTATGAGCATCCATTTGTACAGTATTTGTAAACAATTTGTAGTAAACTTGTAATGTTTTATATAGAAAACAAAGTAAATTTGTCATAAACTTGCAATGTTTTTATGTAATATTCAGAATAAATTTGTATATTATTTTTACATGTTTGATTTATTATTCATATACGAATTACTGTGTATATATGAAGTATAATCTTTTAAAATTGATAAAAAATATATGAGAATTGATATCTTTATTCAATGATTTAAATTGGTGAAAAAAATTAAAAATAATATAAGGTAAAATGAAATATAAAAAAAATTAAGTTTTTTATGTAGCAGAACAAGATATAGTTTTACTACAATAAATTTCCCACCTAAGAAATTTTTGATTGTAAAATGAGCTATTGGGCTTCTTTTAAAATTGGATGATATTGTGTACTTTATTGTACTTGTCAAAGACTTATATAATGATCTATAGAATATCTTTGGTTTGCTGAGATTTTCTGGCTCATCTTTGGCCACTTGGCTTAAAATTACGATTTCCATAAATGTGAAAGTAAAGCTCCGCATGAGCCGAGCTGGCTTGTGAGCTGGCTCAAGCTTTTCAAGCTGAGCCGAACTGAGCCATAATTAAATTGGCTCGTAGCTCACGAGCCAGCTTGAAAAGAGCTCAAGCCGGTAATAGGCTCAGCTCAAAAAGCTCAAGCCGGTAATAAATCAGTTCAAAAAAGCTCAAGCCAATAATAAGCTTGGCTTAAATAGCTCGAGCTGGCTCGATTTTAAATTACTAAAATTTGATATAAAATATTGTTTATTTTATTATTTTATTATTTATTATTTAAAATTTAACATTTAATAATCAAACTAACAATAGATATAATTTTACTTTTATATTAATCATTTACAATAGTTATTCCACCAAAACCCGATTTCCACCATCCTTTAAGACACATTACTTTTTGAATTGATTCATCTTTAAGACTACAACGTTTTTGAACAACTAAATCGGTGCCACCTGAGAAAATTCGCTCTACAGGTGCACTAGTGGCTATAAAAATAATAAATTATATAAATAAAATAATTAATAATAGTTTATTGATCGGTAATTTACTATTTTGATATATATATATATATTAACCTGGAATAGATAAGTAATCACGCGCCATTTTAGACAAATTCGGGTACTCCACTTCGTGCGCCTATAAAAATTAATTTAATAACATTAATAATATAAAATAATAATATAATAAATAATATTATTTATATACCTTCCACCATGCAAGAATATCTGTTTTTCCGGGAATTATTTTTTCATCTAAGTATATACTTAATTCATCATTATTTAATTTCCGTTTCTTAAATATATGACCGAAAATTTCATCATCATCATCATGTGATTCTTCATTATCTGCACTATTTACTTTATACGTTGACTTCCATAATTCAACAACTTGTTTTTTGGCTTCTTGAATAAAGGATTCCTCCCATTTATTATCCCTATAATATTGAAGTTTAAGGCGAGGATCCATCACTATTTAGTAATAAATTATAAGAAATAAATTTAATATTTAAATATCATAAAATTAGACATAATGATAATGATAAACTTGCCTGTTGCTACTGTATAAACTAATGCACCTGTAAATGCATAATATTGTTTTATTTTTTCGATTGATTCATTTAATGCTACTACAACTTCATTCTCTTCGCCTTTTTCACTTTCCTTTTTTTCATACTCGTCTTCAAGCTTATCTAGCAAATAGTTGTATATAGGAACACTATACGATAACGTTGGATATTGCTGTCCAGTGCTAAAATTAGTACTCTTTTTAAAACACTGTAAATAAAAAGATAAAAAAAGATTTAATTTCTTGAAAATATTTTTTTTATTATTTTTCGTGTATATTATTAATCAATAAATAACTAACCTGCAATATCTCATGTACTTCTAAAATACAATTCCATTCCTCTTCTGAAAGTATATACTTTCTTAAATCTTTATCAGCTGATGCGGTATTATGAAGAGGCTGTATAATTAATTATTAATTAGAAATTTAATAATTTTTTAAAAAAATTTAAATAATAAAACTAATATTACTTGTTTAAATTCCAATGCACGTGTTATCATGTCATCAGTCGAATTCCATCGCGTTGACACATCCGGGATAAGTTCAAGTGGTTTAATATTAGCAGCAATACATTGTTGCTTAAGTTTTTCTCGGCGCTGTGGAGATGCTCTAATTTTTACTATAACCTTGCGAAGCTTTAAATTTAATAAATTAAACAATTAGCAATTATAAAATTGGTATTTTTGCAATAATATTTATTACCTTATATATAGCATCTTTCAAATTATCATCATTATCTTCGGATACTTCAAAGGTATTTTCATCTTCATATGATATTTTATTAGTCACATAAAGATGATCTATTAATTTTTTTGCGCCTAAATTTATAACATGTGCAAGGCATCGGACGCGATGATTATTTGGATCAAATATTATATTTTGTAATTTTAAAGACTGCGAAATGTTTTCTAGCATCACGTCCATGTTGGAAGCATTATCACATCCAATTGCTAAAATCTATATACAATAAAGAATAAACAATTATTAGTTAATTATGAAAAAAAATATAAATTGTAAATAAACAATTAAACATTTACTTTTGTTGTTATACCAAACTCTTGAAGGACTTCTAAAAATCTTTGTGATAAATTAGCTCCAGTATGGGATCCTGATAAAATACAAAAATCCAATGTAGTACATTTTAATTCCCATTTGTCATTTATCCAGTGAACACTTATCCCAAGAAATGGAATTTGATTCTTGCTGGTCCAAGCATCCACTGTGAAAGATAGGCGACCGGGTGCTTCCTATTGTTTTTATTTGGATTGATTTAATACCCATATAATATAAAATCATTACATATAAACATTAGTTATTAACCTGCAGTTGTTGTCTAAATACATCTTTTGAAGTTTTAAAGTTTTCAGTTAAATCTCGTCGTATAGTATCAGCAGAGGGAATGTGCATACCTGGTCGAATAAATGTCATCATGTCACGAAATTCCCTATTTTCGGTCACATTAAACGGTTGATCATTATTAACTACCCAACGAATCAATCTTTTTCTATATCCTTTTTGGCTAAACTAAAAAAATGATATAATTATATTGATATATTAATAATAAGGATCTTTAATATGGTATTAAAATAAATATTAAACTTACATTTTCTTTTTGATCAGAAATTACGAACTTATCCATTTCACCGATTTTTTCCTCTTGTTTTTGAGTTTCAGCAACAATTTTTGGGTGGTGTTTATTTACATGACGCCATAACGTAGAAGTTGATTTGTTTGAAAAACTCTTAGGACAATAGTTGCAATAATATTTTGGAGACTTATAAGTAAAAAATTGATAAACAAGGGATCTTTTGCTGCTTGAAGAAGAATTAGTATACGCTTCAAGTTCAACAATAGGAGTGGGAACGGGAATAGGTGAAGAAGGGTTGGACATTATTCGGATATATAAATCTTTTTATCTTAAGAGAAAGCCGTCAAAAAAGAACCCGTAAAAGAATGACTTAAGTTGGATTATTTTGCATGGATGATAACTGAAATTATCAACTCGAATTTTTTTTTTCCATACAGACGATAACTACTTTTAAATAATTAAGACACGGAAAATTAATAAAATTGGCTTAGCTAAAATTAGTTTAGCTACCAAAATTAGTTTAGCACAGTTACTTTTCAGTTTCACAGTCAAAATTAATATTACGGTACATCTTTACATGTGACTTATCGATCCGATTTACCGATCGATAATCTTAATTTTTTTTTCCTTCCTTCAACTTTATACATTAAATTTGTAGCGCTTTGTATATTTTTTAGGTTTATTATTAAAAAAAAAACGGGTTTATTTTTTTTCCTTTTTCGTTAAACGGTTTCTTTATT